TGGGGTGGGGCACTAACACCACAGGCTCCAACTGGGCCCCATAGAGAGCCTTTCCAGCCTTGCTCCATCGCTGGGTACTGTGAGCAGAAGCATCCCCAGGATGGACCTGACTCAGAGGGCAAGGGAGGGAACAAGCCACACTGGGCACCGTCCAGAGAGGACAAAGGCCTGCACACTGAAGCACAGAGATACGCAAAGAGACAGGAATGGCCTGGCAGAGCTCTGAACAGGGAGTAATAGCGCAGTGTTCTAGAAAGATTGACCTACAGTCTGGTTCCTGGATGAAAGCCCCTCTGAGTAGGAAAAGTATTTTTAAGGAAAAGGCAGGGCTGCCGTGATAACTGGGTTGGTAGGGTCTCCCACTCAAAACCTCAAGTCACCAGACTACACAAACCCTTCCTGGAGTAGTAAAGTAAAATAAAGGGGTCTGGGGGATGGCTCAGAAGATCAAACACTTGCATTGCAAGCAAAAGGATTAGAAATTCATGAAGTCCAGGCAAGTATGGCAGCCACCTGCAGGTCCAGCACTGAGGCAACAGAGATGGGTGCTGGAGTGGCGGGGAACAAGCTGACCAGCTAGACTAGCTGATGGGCAAATGTGGGTTCATTTGTGAAGCCCTACCTCAACATTGTGTGCTTAAGACATCCAGCATCCAGGTGGGGCCTCTACAGGTGTGCACACACATTTGCATGTACTCCTTGACAACTGCATACCACATACACAGTGCAGTACGATGCTGATATTTGCTGGGTCAGAGCACAGATTAAGCCAGCAAAGAAGCCAGAACAACAACAGCAAAGAATGTACGTAGACCATAGAGGCGAAGTGTTTCAGTGGTCCGCGGAGTGCAAGGACATCGGAAAGATGGTGTGGTTGTGGAGAAGTGTTAACTTGGGATGGGGCCCTAGAGATGAACCTGGGAAGAACTGAATGGAATGACCCAGGAAACTCCTAATTTTCCCCAAACTATAGAGCCCAAATTGTTGCTCCTGACAGAGCAGTTGTCTAAAAGAAACATCTGTACAGGAAAGAAACCTGGAGGGTCCAGGGAGAGGGGAGGAGATGATACCTAAGAGACAACTCTCAACACTTAACCTACACATTCTAACAGTAACAGAGTAACTACCTTAAGATTTTTGTGTGTATATGCTGCATGTGTCTGTGCATGAGTGCTCACGGAGGCCAGAAGAGGGCGTTGGATCCTCATTCTCTGGAACTGGAATTACAGACAGGTTGTTGTGAGCTGCCATATGAGTGCTGGGAATCAAACCTGGGTCCTCTGCAAAACAGTTGATGACATTAAAAAGAATTCTCAGGCATGAGAGGTGGCTCAGTAAAGCACTTTAGAGCATGTGCAAGGTCCTGTGTTCCATCCTTATCAAATGTTTTCTCACAAATACAAATAAGACAATATCAAATAGAAGGCAGCCACTTATAAAAGACATATTGCTAAGTGGTAAATTCATGCCCAGTTTTATTTAAAAATAGGTTAAAAAAAGGAAAACTAGATATACTGGACAAAGTTTTAAAATAGTTTCTTAAAATTTTATTTGTGTATGGACCACATACAGGCCTGGTGCCCATAATGGACAAAAGAGAGCATCAGATCTGCTGGAACTGGAGTTACTGACAATTGAGAGCCACCATGTGGGTGCTAGGAATAAACCTAGGTCCTGGCCAGCCAGGCAAAATGCACCCACAGGTGCAATAGTGGCCAGTCTGTTATGGGAGTAACCAGTTGCTCTCTGATCAGATTTGAGGCTCACTCCTCAAGAGAATTTGTATTATAAGCACCGAGGGACTCATCAAACCCTGGGGTTATCTTACAGGTGAACAAGGTCCAAAGTTTTACTTTATGTGTATGAATGTTTTGCCTTGAGTGTGTCTGTGCACTACATATATGTGTGATGCCCTCAGATGCAGAAGAGGGCATTAAAACTGCAACTGGAGGCATTTGTGAGCCTTCTGTAGGTGCTGTCCTGTCCTGTCCTGTCCAAGAGCCATAATAGCTCTTAACTGCGGAGCCATGGCTCCAGTCTTTTTTCAGCTTTCTGTGGAGGATCATTACAGGTAACCCTACACACTCTTTTGTCCAAGAGCTTTTTTTCTGCAAGATGGTGGACATGGGAAGGGCTGTATGGTTCAGCTTGCTTCAAATGGCCAGCCTGCTGTCATCTGTGTAGCTTGGTGTAGATGCTGTCTGGACTGGGGGCGGTACACTCCACAGAATGCCTCTATTGGCCAGTTGTAAGGAGGCCAGTGTTGGATGTCAGTCACCTCCAGAGATGAGTGGCTACTAAAGTGCTGTGTCCTCTGGGTTACATAATCAATCCTCGGGCAAATGTGGTGCCATGGTAGCTGATGGTTAATCACAAAAGAATGGAAGAAAAAGGCTGTCAGACTCCTCTCCAGTACCCACTGAATAACCCCAAGGCCAGTCTAGTGACCAAACTACTGGGGAGGCTTTCTGGGAGGGGTGCGGAGGACAGTAAGTCACAGAGTAGAGCTGGCCACAGCTTTAAAAGGGGACTGCAGGGGACCCTGGGAATCCTGTAAATATCCCAGGAAGGTCGAGGACATGAATCTTTATGATTCTTTGCCCTCTCAAGGTAAAAGCCCCCCCCCTTCCAGGTATTAGCTGGCAACTGCTGATAAGCACCCCAGGAAATGGCACAGGTCTGGCAGAAGCTGCATGGAAGCCCAGCCCTCCCTTTTGGATACTGATGAAGTTGACCTGATGATGGTAGTCCTTAATGTGGGCCACTCTGTAAACACCTGAAGGCCTACAGGTAGCTGGTAGAGTGCTGAGAACCCTACAAGCAAAAACTGGGGATCAAGACAGCAAGTGGTTTCTGGCCCCCATTCCAGTTTCAGCCCACAGCTCCAGACTTTTTAGAAACACTGGGCTAACTCTCAAGCAGGAACCTGTCTGTCCTTGTGGCTTTATTAAACTAGAAGATCTGTCTGCAATGTAACCCCCTAAGGAACAAGGAACAGAACGACCTTTTTACCTTGCAAGAAGGAAGTTTCTGCTGAAGCCAGCAGTGGTCCTGGCACCTGAACATCTTGCCTCACCATCCCTGCCATCGTAGAGAGGGTCCCTGGGCAGTGCAAGGGAACTGGCAGTCTGAAGGCAGAACCTGTTTGGAGTCCTGCCTTCTGGGTCAAGCTGACCCTGCAAAGCCAGTACAGTGTGGCTGTTGCACATGGAGCCTCCTAGGTTCCATCTCCAGTGAAGTCCAGTGAAGTCCAGTGAAGTGGGATGCCCCTCTGTATGCTGTGAATATTTTATTACCAATGGCTAATAAAGAAGCTGCTTTGGCCTATGGCAGGACAGAATATAGCTAGGCAGGAAATCAAAACAGAGGGAGAAAGAATGCAGAATCAGAGAGATGCCAGCAGCTACTGGAGAACACAGACATGAGGTAACAAGTCACAAGCCTCGTGGTAAAGTATATAATAGAAATGAGTTAATTTAAGTTGTAAGAGCTAATTAATAAGACTGAGCTAATAGGCCAAGGTTTGTAATTAATATACACCTCTTAATGTTTATGCAGAAGTGGTAACTTGCAGTTACAATCCAGAGCCTTGCAGAATTCTCAGGATGTTTCAGGCTCACCCAACCCTGTTGGATGACCTTCCAAATAGGAGCCAAGTAGCCAGAGGAGGTACAAAACACTCAGGCCAAACTTGAGTTCTGTGTAAATGGCAAATTTGGAAGTCTTATCTGGCTTAATTTACTACTGATCCCTAAAGGTGCCAACTATCAGCCAGGTGCTGATAACATGGGAAATATGAACCTGTAAGATAAAAAGCAGTGTCTCTCAGACAGACGAAATGAAGAAACCAGAAGTTTCCTCAGCCTGTACTAATTCTTGGAAAACAAGTGTCATGTCCTTGTCTTTACCTGGTAGTAGACAGTATTTTACTCCCAAATGGGGTTGGAAATTCTAAATCCTACTATACTAAGTTATTTTCCTGAGGATTTTGCAAACTCATGATTTACAAAAAGATCCCTAGTCCTAGATTCAGAACTACATATACCTCTGCACCAAAAAAAAAAAAAAAAAAAACAAAAACACCTGGGCAAGACAATGAAAATGTCCAGTCACAGTTGTGATGCCCAGTATCACTTTTGGAGATACCCACTATTAATGAGTTACAATTGAAGCTGTTGGGAGCAGAATGGGAATGTATCTGATGTCCTTTCTGGAATTTACCCTCCATACAAGTGTAATAGATAAAAGCATACACACACCACAGCTTTTTTCACAGATGTTAGAAACACGAGTGTTCACAGACTGTTACATGACAACACATTCAAGATAATGAAATGTCCTTTGATGGTTCAGAACAAAGCTGACGTATACTAGACTCACTCTGAAACAAAGTATGACATACTTGATGAAAAACCTAAGGAAACCCAAGAGGGCAGATGTGTTGCTGTATCCAAGATGAATAATCTGATCTCTAGGGAGAACATGGGGATCAGGTAGAAGCCTTGCTTTTCATGTTCAGCCCTTTGTAATAAGTGTTTTTTTTTTTTTTTTGGTTTTTCGAGACAGGGTTTCTCTGTAGCTTTGTGCCTGTCCTGGAACTAGCTCTTGTAGACCAGGCTGTCCTCGAACTCCCAGAGATCCGCCTGCCTCTGCCTCCTGAGTGCTGGGATTAAAGGCATGTGCCACCACCGCCCAGCATAAGTGAATTCTTATCATGTCCACGTGTCACTTAGCATCTTCAACCCTATCCCTCTCTTTTAGAGCCGGTGGATACCTTATGAATCAGTTCCAAGGTCAGCTATTTCATGCTGTTCCCAGGAAAGACCCTACATTTTATCTTGCCATCAGAACAGTAGGACCTCTGCATAGGAACAAGCAGCACTAAGAAAAGCTGAGGTTGGATTTAGTATATCCAGAAAGTTAAAGATAAAACATCTAGGAAATGAAGTTGTTCCGTGTCTGTGGATGTTAAGTGAAGCTAAGAACAAAGACAGTGGATATGTAACAGGTGAAGAGGAAGATCTTGTATTTCGCATAAGAATGTACTGAACTTAAGGAGTCTCACCAGTAGAAATTTATGGTAACGTTTTGATTACATGTGTAGGTTAAAAAAAGAAGTATTACCTGCCAGTAAAAATGCAGGACCAATTTTCTTTAAACAGTGGGTTTAGAGACAAAAATGGACCACACACTGCCTGGATAGGGTCAACAGAAAGTTGGATTGGGGGTTATGTGCACCAACACAGGAAATCCTTCTATTGGAGAATGTTCCAGAGAAAAGGACTACTTCTGAATGATACCCCCCCCCCCCCAAACAATCCGGCAACAGGAATTGTCAGATGGGATAGTCTGGGGTAGCCTAGAACCCAAGCAGGCACTTCTAGCCACATGTGCATAGTCCTCACCAATTCCCCATCTTCTACAAACACCATGGCAAGTGGGTAGATGTAGGAAACAAAGCCCAAAGTGTTTTGGATCAGGAGTACAAAGTCACAGTTCTATCTTCAGTGGTCTTCAACAGAAGTGAAGAGTTGGTGGGACAAGAACCAGAATTCTCCCAATGGCCATCAGATGAAACTCTTGCCTTTCCGGTTCTGAATAGTTGTCTGAAGCACATGGTCCTCCTCCTCCTCCTCCTCCTCCTCACTGTTTCAGAGTATGGGAGGTGCTGGGCTCTCTGAAGCCCACAAAGGACAAAGTAGAAAAGCAGCAGCAAAGGCTCTCCAGGAACTAGCACCACTGAGGAAGCCTCCTCCTCCAGAGAGCTCTTTCACACCTGCACACCCTGAGAATCTTTGGAGTTCAACATTCAGAGTGCTATCCAGCCCAGCAATTTGACCAGTCAGAGCTGTCTACGTTTGAGCTTAGACAGTGTGGTTGACTTGAGAAATGGCTCCTTCAGCAACAGTGTAGGTGGTGCGTTGGGAAATTTGAACATCAAGAATCATCTCCAAGCTGCCTGGGTAACACAGCCAGGATGACTCTGACAGCTGCTCAGGTAGCCTACAGACCTACATAGCCTCGACTGGAAACCAGGAGATCTGCTACAGGAAGTCGTTCTGATACTGGACCTGCTTTGATCACCCCCTTGTGGGTCTTGTAGATCTGAGTCTCTGGGGCCACATACTTTTCATATCCCATTGTTGATCTTCCTGTCCTCGGAGCCTCTCCAACTTCAGGTTGGTGCTTGCTTCATCCTATGTTGAGGTTCCAGGAGCTCAATGGCTCAGACTCTGTGCCCTTTCCTCAAGAGTCACACAAAAGAACAGTCTCACAGCAGGCATTAACATCTTCTCTTTTAAAAAATAAATATTTATGTAAACTTAGGGAGGAAGATTCAAGGAATCTCCTTCCCAAAGCACAAATGTCCCACATGAGTCAAATCAAGATTAAGTCCACCAACTCACTAATGAAATCCCCTTCCCCAGAAGCTGCTGTGCTGAGGCAGGTGTGCAGAGGAATTATCTGCCTCCCAGCTCCTCAGTCCCCTTTGGTGATGAGGTCCTCAATGTAGGCATCCAGCTCGTCATCTGTATTGATGTCTATGTCCTGGAACAGAGTGGGGTGGGGGTCAGTTGGAGCAGGAAAACAGGTTGGGGGTTAGGACTAGGCCAGAATTCCATTCTGTTCTCTTGCCCAGCTCTCTGCTTCTTGTTCCTGCCCTGTTTCTAAATCTGTTATCCCTTGTTAGAACTCATTGTGTATGCCCAGGAATGCCAGGTTCTCTGCATCCCTCCACCTAGTGTCTTATATTGAAAATTGGACTATGCCACATCCCCCAGTAATGTTCCGCTCTTGGGTTCAAACCACATACTTAGAGGTCCTGCCTCTCCTACCATCCATAACTCCCTACTACAGCTTAGTCAGATCCTAGTCTCCAGAGTCCATCCTAGTCTAGTAGCCTCCCCTTGGATTCAGTCTCCTTCGTTACTTTAGAGACCATCCCATTCGTAGCTCTAGGTTCTCTACCAGCCTGCCCCCAGTCTACTGTGTAGAAGAAAGATGTACCAGACCCCTAAGGGCAACATCCCACTTCTCCACTACTCAACTCCACCTGGGACCCATTTAGATAAGTAAGAATTTTGCATTCCTGGCAACCACATGGTGGCTCACAACCATCTGTAATGAGGTCTGGTGCCCTCTTCTGGCCTGTAGACATACACACAGACAGAATATTGTATATATAATAAGTAAATAAATAAATAAATATTTAAAAAAAAAAAGAATTTTGCTTATGGCTTAAAGGGTTCTCAAAGCAAACTGTATACGGTCTGTGGGGTCTGGCTGGGACGAGGCCCAGGCAGCTCTATCACTTCAAGCCCTCTTGTGAGGACTCAAGAGCAGCCAGGGCTGAAAACAGACTCTTGTGGGTGCATAGTCCTGTGAAAAGTCCAGCCTCACTCCAAGACCAGTTAGTCTAGCTTCTCCAAGGGATTTGCTGGCTCACCTCCTGTACTTTTTGCAGGAGTGCTACAATGTTGGTCCTCAACTTCTGTAACTTTTCTTCTGTCTCACGAAGCTTTCTCTCAGAGGTGCGCAAGCTCTCCTCTGAGGCTTTTGCCCGTGAGTCAGCACGACTTTGGTAGGAATGACACAGATTCTGGAGTCCCACCTCATACTGCTTGAAGTATTCTTTCTGTGGAAGGAAACATGATAGGGCCATAAGTTCACAAGTAACTTGGGTTTATTTCAGTACTGGGGGAAAGCAGTCTTCTAGAACCAAGGTAAAGAGATTTTAGTGACAGTCCTTTGGGGATACCACAAGGATGAGGATACAGTGCACTCAGCAAAGTGCTTAGTAAACTGCAAGGATGGCTTACCTTCCACACAGCTAAAAAGGACTGTGGAATCATTCTAGCTTTAATCACACCTTTCTAACTCCAGAACAAGACTTGTATATCCAACATCGTGTTAGGATCAAAGAGCTACCAAGCACCTACCAACAGCAATTATCCCCAGATTTGTTTAGTTGTACAACAAAGCCTTTTATTATGAAGTGGTTAAAAGTAGTTAAAAACAATTTTAAGTCGTATCCCAGTATGATCTGCTCAGAAACAGTCACTGAGAAGGGAAGTCATCCTCACAGAAAAACTACCACAGGTCCTGGCTATCCAGTGCACGTACTTGCTTCTCTGAAGGCTGCGTGAGTCGCTGCACTGAGGGGCTTACAATCTACACTACGATCTCACACCATGATGACAACAGAAGCTTCACATTTTACATAAAAAATATCTTGGCTGCACAAAATAAAATTTAAGCCAAATGCAAATATCTTGAAGACAATTATATTAAACTTTTAATTGTAAAATTACTGAAGAGCACCATTTACATACTGATAAGAAATAAAATGAACAAAATTGAAAGTTTGGTTTTAGAAATTGCAATCAGAAGATCAAAGTTGTGTACTACTACTTTTACAAAAACAAGCTAGATATTATTTTTAGACTTGGACAATCACACTGATTCTCTTTGGGCTGAGCGACAGTGCTTACTGCTGAGGTCCTGCCGTACTCTGGCTTTTGCTTTGAATTTCACAAGTTGATGCCAAAAGTAACAAGTAGATGTTTGTTCTCCTAGGGCCTCTGGAGAGCCCAGTCTAAACAAGGGCAAAAGCCACAGTCTGGGCTGGGCTTGCTGTGAGACAAGAATGTGGCATGACATGCTACTAAAAGTGCCCCTAGAAAGGCCAGGACAGCAGACAAAAATCAACTTGGGTGTTTCTGTAAACAAAGCTTTATCCTTGATGGATGCCTCTGGATACTTTCATGCTGTAATTGCAGAGCTGAGTAATTTTACACACCATATAGTCTACAAACCCATTATTATTTGCTAACTGGCCCTGGGCGTGGTTCAGATCAACAAGTCTTTCAGCTTCAACCATTTCCAACATAAAAATGAGGCTTAGATTGATACCCAAAGATGCACCATATCATCAAATCTTTCAGCCTGCTGCTGCTTACAAAAGCCTCCTGCCCTTGCCTCCAAACAGTCTTCTGCACTTACAAAAGCAGGCACTTACTGAAGCCCTAGTTGTTTTACTTGGTTAGGGTTTTTTGGTGTTTTCCCTCTCTACCAAGTTGCTAAGGCTCTCTGGCCACTGCCACAACATTCATTTCTCTCAGGCTATGGCCAGCTACCTAGTAGCAGCAAGTCCACCTCTAGCAAAAAGCCAGTAGAGTCCTCTGGGCTACATGAGTTCTCATGTTCATCTCCAGATACCACCACTTTCCCTCTTCCTCTTTCCAAGTCCCAAGTTCTAGGTATGCTGAGTCTAATCTCTTTAGTGTTACCTAGGACAGATTTGAAAAAAAGAAAAGAGATGCATGTATCCTAAATCTGAAAAGGAGCCTCAAGGGGTGAAGCTAGCTTTCTTTCCTGCACACCAGTCCTATCTTCTCAAATCTTCCCTCAGTAAGAAGGGAGAATGATGAGATTGTAATAAGCAACCAAAGATCAGGCCAGACTCACCAGAGGAAAAGATATTAGTTCTTCTGAATTCATAGCACTCAGCTCCTTCTTAGAGATGGGGAAACTCGGAGGCAAGAAATATCGCAAGCAATTGCTAAGTAGGAAAAAAAGGGAGGGACAGGAACTCAGAATAGCATGGAAAAAGTGAACTATTGTCAGCCCTAAGGAAAAGGCAAAGAAACACAAACCGAAGAATCTGGACCAGGAGGTCAATAGTCTCATGGTTGGTACTTGGGGCAGTAGTGTCAGGCTCAATGGCTAGACCATCAGAGGTAGACGGCTCTGGTAAGGCCGAAGCCTGTTGGGCTACAGGCTCCTCCTCCTCTCCACCTTCTTGCTGCGTGTCAGGACTCTGATGCTCTGGAGAAGGTGGCTTCATCAGTCGTACATCTTCACTGCCTTTCTCCACCCTATGGAGGACACAGAGCGTATCATGTCTGTCCTAAGCTCCTAACAGGCTGCTAGGAAGGACATGAGGGTACCGCTTTCCTTTACCCTAGTTAACTTCTGCTATTCTGACATCCCAGAAGAGGGCATTACCAGCGGTCTCTTGGTGTTGTGTCTGTGGGCACGTAGTCAAACTTCACTTTCCACCGGACCACATTCTTGCCCATCTCTACAGCTGTGACACGACCTGTGTACCACTCCCGGTTCACACGTACCTCTACATGCAGCCCTTTATCTGAGAATTCAAACACAAGTGAAAACCAGACAACTACATCAGTGCTCCCGACTTAGCCAGTGCTGTACTTGTAAAAGGTCCCCAGGTGAGTCCCCCAGTATGCACTCTGAAGTTTGGCAATGCGGATTCTTCCATCTGTCATAGAGCCAAGACACAGGATGAGTGACTTGCCAAGGGCAAACACCAAAGAATTTGTGTCAAAACAAAACAAACAAAAAAACCCAAAAGCAGAAAACCACAAGTCAAGCATGATGGCTCGTGTCTTTAATCCCAGCACTGGGAGACTGAGCCAGAGGATTACAAATTCAAGGCCAAACTGGACCATCTAATGCAAGTCTGCTCAAAAATCTCAAGCATCACAAGTAAAACTAAACATCATGAAGGGAAAGCTGGACCAACTATAGAAACCAAGCCCAGAGAGCTGTTAACTTAAGGAGGAAGCTGCTGACAATAAAGGCTCTATTTCCTTTTTCAAAACAGGCTGACAGGACTCCCTAAACTTACCTTTCTGAGCCTTCTTGAGTTCAGCTGAGTCATCTTCCCCAGCACTGTCTGAGAGCTGCGAGGAGAACGGTCTATTAGAAGCTTCTTCAAGTGGTCACTGTTTGTCAATGAGGGCTCTTTTGTGTTACTGGCTATACATGGTCACCAGCTATAACATGTCTTTTTTTTTTTTTTATGCTGTCCCAGGTATCTACCCTTCCACCACCTTTATGAATAAAACAACAGGCAAGAGACACATTTCAAGTGATTCTAGGCCCCTAGGTGTACACACACACACACACACACACGCACACACATGCACATATATACTGGCCCGTTATTAGAACAAACCTCAAGATCCTACCTGGCCCCATGTTTCTACCCATCAGGGTAACAGGCTCAAAGCCTTAGGTCATGAACACAATGGGTGCTGGCAGAGGCCCAGGGAGGCAATCCCTGTGAGCCTCATGTGATCACCCACCTCATTTGCCTCCTTCTTTTCCTCCTTCACAGAAAACTTGCTTCGCTTGCATCTTTCTTTCCTCTTTTCAGCTTCTTCTTCAGCCTCTTCCTCATCAGAGACTACAAGACTCCGCTTCCGCCCTGAGGTGACCTAGATCAGGAGAGTAGGAGCATGAAGGCCCTGTTCAGCCTTCAGATTTTGTACAGATTTTGAACTATTCAAAAGAGCTTATGTCAGTTCCTGCTCAGAATTACTCAGTACACACATAAGCAACTTCCTGGTACTTATACTATGTGGACTTTGACAACACTTGTTACCAGAGAAGATTCTCGTTTAACCTTAGTTAGTCAAGCCCTCCTTGACAAACAAAGACCACTGCCATAATCTACCAAAGCTGTCTGTCACCAAGTTAACAAGAAGCCAATGGAGCTGACTCAAGTTTGCAGCAGACCAAGGTTGGGTCTGCTGGGTAAAAAACTCACTGTGTAAGTTCTGAGCAAGTCTCTTGCTATATAGGCTCCTCTTCTTCAAAGGCATCAGAAAAGCATGGAGATTCAGTGATCCTGGACTCCCCTAGTATAACTTTTCCCCTACAGCATTGCTAATGAGCTGGAACATGGAGGAGGCAAAGTGTCTCACCACGGAATGTTTAACAGGTGTCTCCAGCTTCTTGACCACTGGAGTCTTGATGGCTTTTTGAGCAGGAATCTCCCGAAGGTTCTTGGAGTTCGGGAGTAGAGATGGTGACGGGGGCTGCACAGGAGGGGTGGGTCGGGGTGCAGTCTTGATGGGAGAGTTTGCAGGCTTTCGAGGTGCCTCAGCTGGCTGGAGCAGCCTGGATACACTAGTTTCACCTCGGGCTGCAGTAGCAGGCAGCTTTGGGGGGTTGCTGATAACCGAAGCCTTTCGGAGTTGGCTAGTTGGTCTAGCAGTTTGAACAGAAGGGGGTCTGCTAGGAGCATTCTTGATCACGGCAGGTAAAGGGGGTGACCGAGGACGCTGAGGTCTCCGTACAGGTTCCTAAAAAAAAGCCCAAACAGTGGGAACATTGGTCCTAGCTTAAGACACCAGAAGAGCCCCGCCTCCCTTATGTCCCTGGGCTTTACTTCAGTGGAAGGTCTGGTAGTCACTTCTAAGGGCAATTTCTTCAGGTCAGCTTGTGAGCGGATGGGTGTGGTTTTCTGCAAAACAAAGGTAATGATAAATTCTTTACAATCTTTTTGGACCCTCACTATGTGCCTAAGACAGTGATCTAGGTCTATTTCTGAAAGTTTGCTATTATCACTACAAAGGCAGTATGTGTGTGCACGCATGTATATATTCGTATACATTATATACATACATACATACACACAGATATACATCTATATGCATACAGATATAAATATAAAGGGTACCTAAGTGACTGATTCAGCAACTGAGAGACTGGGGAAGTCTTTAGAGTTTCTAAAAAGGAAACCAAAAAGGTGGGAAAGAACTGGTGAGAGAAGTTGGCATGAGGCCAGAGAAGGGAGTGGAATTCAGCATGCTTAAGACATTTCCAAACTAGGCAGTGGTGGCAAAAGCTTTTAATCCCAGCACTCGGGATTTTTTTGCAATTTGTGAAATTGAAAATTGAGTTTACAAGCCGGGCGGTGGTGGCGCAAGCCTTTAATCCCAGCACTTGGAAGGCAGAGGCAGGTGGAACTCTGTGAGTTTGAGGCCAGCCTGGTCTACAAGAGCTAGTTCCAGGACAGGCTCCAAAGCTACAGAGAAACCCTGTCTCTCTAAACTCACTCCCCCCCCCCCCCCCCCGTAAAAGGCATTTTCAGTTAGTTAAGTATAGACACAGAAGAAAGGAAAATAATTTTGTAATAAATACAAAATTGGGTTCATTGGTTAAAAGTGCAAATTGTTCTTATAGGGCACCAGAGTTCAGTTCCCATTATCCACAATCTGATGCCCTCTTCTGGATGCCACAGGCACCTGCACACATTCCATGCACACACCTGTGCATGTACAGGCAGACACATTTTTAAAATAATAAAAATTAATCATTTAAAAAATATGAAATCATGAAACATTAAGCACATATGAAAATTTGATCAACCTTAAAAATAAAAAAATCTTTGCTGATCAAATTTGCAATATAAAGATAACTCTTCTACATACTGGGAAAACGTGCAAAATTGTGGAGGGCACATGACTGGGAGAAAAGGAGAGAGGAGAAACTGGTTGGGATGTTAATATATGAGAAGAAATAAACTGAAAAAATGCAAAACAGTACATTGCCTGCAAGGCTATTTTTTATTTTATTTTCAAATTTTATTTATTTATATTTTAATGAGTGCTCTGCATGTACACCTGCATGCCTACCAGAAGAGGGCACCAGACCTCATTATAGATGGTCATGAGCCACCATGTGGGTGGCTGGGAATTGAACTCAGGACCTCTGGAACAGCAGCCAGTGCTCTTTATCTATGAGCCATCTCTCCAGTCCCCGAGAATTCTTTTAAAACCATAACATTTTGTAAACTCTTCTTTTTTTGTTTTTTTCTTTCCGAGATAGGGTTTATCTGTAGCTTTGGAGCCTGTCTTGGAACTAGCTCTTGTAGACCAGGCTGGACTCAAACTCACAGTGATCCGCCTGCCTCTGCCTCCCAAGTGCTGGGATTAAAGGCTTGTGCTACCACCGCCTGGCTTGTAAACTCTTTTCAATTTCACAAATTACCAAAAAATTATTATGCACTAAAAATAATATATGCATATATTAAATAAACATGGGATGGTTGGCTATAACACTAAAAATTATATAGAGAGGTTTTTAAGTGTAGGCCTTCATGCAAAATTGGAAAGAGCTACTCCAGAGAATCTTAAGTCTAAGACCAGCCTTAAAGGTAAACTCAGAGACTTAAAGAAATAAAAATAAGGGGCTGGAGAGATGGCTCAGAGGTTAAGAGAACTGGCTTCACTTCCAAAGGTCCTGAGTTCAATTCCCAGCAACCAATGGTGGCTCACAACCATCTGAATGAAAAATGCTGCCCTCTTCTGGCCTTCAGGGACATATGCAGGCAGACCACTGTATATTTAATAAATAAATCTTAATAAAAAAGAAAGAAAAATAATAAAATAAAAAGCAAGAAAAGGGTTTAGGGATGTAGCTCAGTGGTACAGCTTGCCTAATACATATATAGACAAAGTAGTTTAATTCTTAACGGGAGGAGGAGGCAAAAAAAAGTTATAAAACTATTGAGTTAGTGGTGATTTCTTCTATGATAGGATATTTGTTTTTTGGAATGCTCATACATTCTAAATACATCGGACCAATCTGGATATATAAACAAAATAGTTTGTTACCTAAATAATCAACAAGGTGCACTGGAAAAGTGTTTGGAATTCGGGGTCAGAAAACCTTGGTGTGAACACATGGAAGGGACACGAAAGCCACTGAAAGCTTCTATCCTGGACAGACTGCTGACACAGGCTGGCTCTGCCCACTTGCTCATGATGGCGTACCTGAAGAGCTTCTAGTTTTTCCTGTTGCTGGCGAATTTTCTCTGTCAGCTGCTTCTGCTTTTCTTCCTGTGTCTTTAGGTCCTTTTTTAATGTCCCCAAGGGAACCTTCTGCTTCTGTTCAGAAGCTTCACAGCTGTAAAGGAAAGAAACTGGTGGCAAAGCAGCATTCTGATAAGATAGAGACCTGCTGTCTTACAACCACCACAGAGCTTCCAATGTATAAAAATGGTATGTTACAGGACACATTTATTTGTCCTTCTTGTGCACAAACCATGCAGCATTGCCCTCAAGAAATACCCCAAGAGTGGAGGGAACAGTGGTGGGGCTGGTAAATGTCGAGTTAGCTTTACTGTCAACTTGACACAGCCTAGAGTCATCTGAGAAGAAAGCCTGGATTGAGGAAGTGCCTAGATCAGACTGGTCTGTGGGCATTCCATGTTTGTCAGGGACTACCTTGTTAATTGATGTATGGGAGCCCCAACCCACTATAGATGGCAATCCCAAGACAGGCAGTCTTGAGCTGTACAAGAAAGCCAGCTAAGCATGAGCCTGAGTTACTGAGCCACTGTAACAATGTTTCTTCACGGTTCTACTTCAGATTCCTGACGTCTCTAAACGATGGACTGTACTTAGAAGTATAAGCCAAATTGCTTCTGTGATATCTGATGTTCTGTGATGTCTACACAGCAACAGAAAGAAAACTGTAATAGGGAGGGAAGAGCAAACATAATCCTTGTTAAAGACTCACCGGTCCTGCTCAGGATCGGGGTTCATGGAGCAAATCCAAGTATCAGGATAATCTTTTTCTACTGAACTCAGCTGGAAGGGGAGTGTCCTCCATTTCAGACACAGATCTGCAAGAAAGAAAACACCCCTCCCTACATGTCAGCCACACCTATCAACAATTACTGGAATCCAGGCTCCTCATCTTAGCAAAGATGTCCTGGACTTTCAACACTCTTTATTTATTATTACAAAACTGATACATTTACCTTATGGACAGAGATTGGAGCAAGGATTAAAAATATTATGGAAGCCTGGTCTACAAGAGCTAGTTCCAGGACAGGCTCCAAAACCAGAGAAACCCTGTCTCGAAAAACCAAAAAAAAAAAAAAAAAAAAAAATTATGGAATCTAAATGCCACCAGCCCTTCCTTTCTCTAGGCTCAGTCATTTATTCATTCTAGAAACAACACGGTACTAGACCTATTGAGCCTGGCCCAGCTGTGGTATGAAATGTCTCCAAGGTGGTGTGACTGTCCATATCATTAAGAGAAACTGGAGAACTAACACAGCTTCAAGACTGTGCTCACAGAGCCACTGCCAAACAGATCCTGTTCCTGCTGGAAGCTATGTTTATGAATATTAGTCAAGTCAGAAGGCCAGCAGGAGGGCACAGATCCTCACGATAGGAGCTTGGAGAAGAGTTCTCACTATTCAACTCACCACACTGGATAGTAGTTGGGATTTCCATAGCCCTCCGGCGTTTGAAACGCAGCTCACTGGATGGAGGTTGGTTCCAGTTGGCAGAAAGGTAGCCAAACTCATCCCAAAACTTGATGATTCCACGCTGGGCTAGAAGGCGAATGCCCACACATTACCTAAGAAGCAGGCCTCATCAGCCTCACCATCTTCTTAACTGATAAACTCACCCTCTCAAGCCATAAAAGCATCTTAAAGCTCAAGATAAAAGAGAGGCTGAGGCCTGGCTCCCAATCCCATTACCAATGGCGATGTCCTTCCAGTACTGTGCCAAGTGCTCCCCCATTGCTCGCAGTAGATGCCGGTACTCCTTAGCATCAGCGAAGTCCTGCTTGTTATGTGTAGGTTCCAGAACCAAGTAGGGCACATCAACAACCCCAACAACCCCACCACATGCCCTGCAAGGACAAAGAAGTCACAACTGTCACCAAAACTCTTTTGCCATTCACCCTGGGCTGGAAAACCTCTCCTAGAGCAGTACTCACATGCCCCCTTCCAGCTGTGGGCCCACTTTCTCATACATCTTGATCAGGCGACTACAATTGTAGATAAACATACCATCTAGGTCCCGGTGTTCAATATTGACCCCAAAAACAAAATTCAGTTCCTTGGGTTCTTTGAGTGCTCTAATAAAGAGGAAAAAAACAAAAACAAAACCATCAAGCCTATTAACTCATTAGCACAAAAACAATATGGTAATAATGGTGTGTTAAGATTTTTGAGACATGTTAAAATTTTCCATCTCCATTCAATGTGTGATGTTAGACTTGATATGGATCTAAACTGTTCAGTGACCCTCTGTATAAACAGAATTCTGGGGTTTTTTCATGTTGTAAAACAGAGATGATTTAAATATGAATGTGGTACTATGAAATTGCTGCAAATCTCTGCAAGGAGAGTTAGAGAGTAGAATAAACATAACATTATAATCATACCATCCTCAAAATCCCAATTATGTTAACAGCAATAGTTCGGTTTGTTTAGTTTTTTCAAGACAGAATCTTGGAACTCGCTTTGTAGACCAGGCTGGCTTCAAACTCACAGAGAAAGTCACCTGTTTCTGCCTCCCAAGTACTGGGATTAAAGGTGTTCACTAATACGCCTGATTTATACAACAATAAGAGTTTAAAAGGCAAAAAATTAACAAGAATACTTAAGAGAAGACATTCATATGACATGTCAAGAAAATCTTGGGACAAGTTAGAGTGAAGTGAACTGAAACTTCTGCTTGTAACAAGGAATTAGCTAGAAATTCATGCCCTAGGGCCTGAGAAGCTCTAAACAGAGTTAAGGTCAGTGATCTGATGAGTTAGAACCAAAAGGCACAAAATTCAATCTATAGTATCATTGTACATTTATAATGAGTAGAGAAAATAAATTATGAACATATAAAAAAAAATTCATATTTTTGTAAGCATAAGGGAGTTTCACATTTATTTAAATGTCTATTTTTCAAGTTTTACACAATGGATATTTTGTACAACATTAACAGAAAAGAGTAAGAAAAGGATAGCAGTGAGTTAAGTGTCAGTTCTGCCTGCCTTCTGCAGGATCAGAAGCGTCTGACCAGCATTTGCAATCACAGCAGTGATGCTTTTCTCCAAGTAAACTTGGTAGCAAATGGCAACCTGCCAGTGCAAATGGTACATAATTTTAAAAGCCCAAAGGTCTGTCCCAAGTACTAACCGCTGCTTGGCATCCTTGATCCTTTTCTTGACATCAGCTTCTCTACGCAGGGTGATGGCTGTATTCTGGACTTGCCGCAACATCACCTGCCAATACATAACCAGTAAGACAGGGGAGGAAGTGCTTTATGCTACATTAAGTAATATGATATCACCTGGATACTAAAACACACCTGAAGATTATACCTTTATATAGAAAAGTGACCTTACTGGGGACAAACTTCAAAGCTGTATTTCATTTTACTAAGGTCAGGATGCTGGGTTCCAATCCACATATGCAAGGAAAGAGAGTCTGAGTCTGAGGACTTACCCTGGAGTCCCGTGTCAGGTCCCCGCCCATTCGCACTTCTAAAGTCCGAGCTTTGCTCTCTGCCTCACGGGCCTTCTCTTCAGCTAAATCCAGAAGAAATCAAAAGTTCAGAACTCTGTCATCCTTCCTTAATCCCTGCTACACAAGAAGTGCATACTAACAACAAGGGCCAAATGGGGAAGTCTCTGGGCCTAAACTACAGAACTGCACCAGAAAAAACAAAACAAACAAACAAAAAGACAACAAAACAACGACTGACATTCAAAACTGTCATGGACAAGATGGTACATCTTATATTTACAGTAATCTGTAAGCTAAGGCAGGAGGATCATTGAGTTTGAGGCCAACATGGGATATAAAGTAAGTAAGTCTATCTCAAAATCATAACCCTAAGCAAAGCATTATTTATATTTCCCTTTTGTTTCACAAATGACTTACAATAGTTAAAAAAAATTATTCAATGGGAATTCAACCTTCAGTATGAACTGAAGCCTGAAGAATGCTTTAGACAATTGCCTCCACCAAAGAGCTAAGAAAATTATAATTATTCCGGGGGGAAACCTTGAGATTTCTGTCCTAGAGTCAGGATAACCTGAAGCAGTATGCAATATGAAATATTTAATCTGGTCTTGAATCTATATCTGGCTTGGTATCTGACTTAAATGAATCTATAGATTTGTTTTATGCCACTCTAGTCCTGCATTAAGTCTTATAACTAGTGAGAGGGGAAAGTCAAATCTAGAGAGACAACAGTGCCGATGGCATTAGAGATGGAGAAATTGAAGAGGGACTGGATCTAAGTAGGGGAACAGCCTTGACCTAGGCTTTTAATACAAGCGGTAGCCCCAACTTCATCCCTCCTCCTAACACAGGGAGTAGCATTACCAATCCGTGCTACATGTTCTGCTTTCTTCACTTCCTGTTCTGCCCGAGTCTTGAAACGGCTTGATGTATACTTGTACATTCTGAAGAGTAGAAAAAGCAACCTGAGGGCCAAGCAGTAGTGGGGCAAGTAGCTAACTTGAACAGCTCAGGAAGTACTCTGCCTCCTCCTATGTGGTGCTGCCCTGGCTCTTTGTGATGAAACAGATCCAAGCTCATTTTAGTAAAATGATTCAAATCATTATTCAATTTGTCCCCAGTCTCCTGATGTGTCTTTGGTGTTCAGCAGGGATCACTAATCTTAGAGCAGGAACAAACCTCAGTAATAAGCCATGGCTTCTCCTTTCCTTTAAAGGGCCTATAGGCTAGGCCCCTGAACTTGAGATAAGACAGCTGCCCGTGCCACTCGCCACATCTCAGAAGGCACATCTCTGAACCAGCCTGGCCAACCACCCAGCAGCCTGTCTGTCACTTCCGTCCTCACCATGGAAAAGACTCTCTGCTAAACAGGCACAATCAGCAAGCAGTGTAGAGTCTTCATACTACACCATCCTAACATCACCCCCAGAGAACTGTGGCCAGGCCCCATTTCTCAGCCCAGATCATGGTAACTAGGCTCTTACCTGGGTTTATACAAGCAACAGGAGAGTCTCTTGGTCTGCACCTTGTGTCCATGAATGAAGATCCTCATCCGTGGATCAATATAGAGCACAGCAGCATAGGCTCGGAAGGAGCGTCGCTCTGGCTTCCTGGAAATAGCAGGAACTGAGAGGTACTGTCTTCACAACAAGGTAAGTCCAAAGCTAATGACTTCCTCTCTGCTCTGCAGTTCCTCAATATTCATTTCACATCCTGGCTTCTCTTGACACTTTGACCAGAATGGCCCCTCATCACAGGTACATCCTCCCCAGTCATATCCCTAGCACAGATGCCCCACAGATACCTCAGCTGGCCCTTACAGGGAACCCGGTGCAATTTCGCCACTAGGACCCAGGCCTCAGATTCTTCTATCAAATGGGAGAGTTGGAACAGGGAATCATTAGTCTTTGTTTTAGTTTCACTGATGAGCCACTGTCCTGCTATTAAGCAGTTAGGAGTTCTCAGCTCTATCAATACTGCCAAGGGAAAGCCATGAAAGTGATTTTCCATTTTCCCCTGAAGTCATCTCCTAAGGGAGTAAAGACCAGTTCCAGGGCCTGCCACCATTCCAGCCATACTCACGTGCCCTCTGGGGAGGTCTCTGCCATCTGGATGTCTTTTGGATTTGAGATTATGTCTAGTTCTGGTTCTCCATTGTCCATGAGCTTGAGATTAAAGATGATCACCAGTGTTCCTGAGGAAACAGAAATCCTTTCTCTGCCAGCCAACCATGGCTCCTTCCTACACCACCAGAGGCTCTAGGGCTCCCAGATTCTCTGGGCTACATGTCCAAAGCCTATACTTACCACTATTCCCGGGAATCTTCATGAACTGGGCCATCACCTGCTCCTCAGTGTGGAAGGGAGAGTACTTGTAGACGAGCTCTGTCTCAATGGCAAACTTCTCCACATTGTCTGTGACAGGTTCCCGTGTTCGAGCATTCCAGGTAGGCAATGGGACTATCACCTTTGTTTTGGGTGAGCACAGATGAACACTGTGATTGGGGATCCAGAACCACCTTCCCCGAAACATGCAGCTTTCCTGTCTCTTCAGTTATGTAGTCTGGCATCAGCTGCAGCTTCTGGTCCTTCCTCAAATTCTTACCATTATGCTAGTCTGTGCCCTGAAGGTTTCTGTGCCTATCTGGGATGTCTTTGGCCATTTCATTAATTTGGTAAAAATTCTACTTTTACCATTAAGGGAAAATACATTTACAATTATCTAGCTAATCTAGAAACACAAAATATAACCTCTAACTCAGCAATTCTACTTCTGGGCAAATACCCCCAAAGGAACTTTTGCACATATTTACCAGCATACATATACAGGAACAACTCAAATATTCACTACATAGTGATGGAGGAGTTAATTTCATTGGTTAATAAAGAAACTGCCTTGGCCCATTTGATAGGCCAGCCCTTAGGTGGGTGGAGTAGACAGAACAGAATGCTGGGAGAAAGTGAGGCAATTACCATGCCTCTCCTCTCTGGGTCAGACGTGATGAAGCTCCAGTCCAAGATGGACGTACACTAGAATCTTCCTGGTAAGACACTACCTCATGGTGCTATACAGATTACTAAATATGGGTTAGTCAAAATGTGAGAGTTAGCCAGTAAGAGGCTAGATATAATGGGCCAGGCAGTGTTTATATGAATACAGTTTGTGTGTTGTTATTTCAGGGCATAAGCTAGCCAGGCGGCCGGGAGCTGGGAGGCAGGAACGCAGCCCGCTGCTCCTTCTACAACACAGTGTCTAAACGAATAGTTTATGGTAATAAAAATGAACAAAGGCACAGCTACAAACATCAACATGGAGGAATCTCACAAACACAGTATTATCTTAAAGGAATACAATTTCTACATTGTCGGTCCATGTGTACATGTACAAAAAACTAACACACACGCACTAGTGACAAACAATGCCTCACACCTTCCAAAAAGTGATTGATGGAGGAGGGTCTATGTGTTACTTTCATTGGTTAATAAAGAAACTGCCTTGGCCCTTTGATACGACAGAAAATCAAGTGGGTGGAGTAGACAGAACAGAATGCTGGGAAGAAGGGAAGTGAGTCAGACGCTATGGAGCCAGCCATCGGGTCAGACATGCTGAATCTTTCCCGGTAAGCTACCACCTCGTGGTGCTACACAGATTATTAGAAATGGGTTAATCAAGATGTGAGAGTTAGCCAATAAGAGGCTAGAACTAACGGGCCAGGCAGTGTTTAAAAGAATACAGTTTGTATGTTGTTATCTAGGGTGTAAAGATAACCATGAGGGAGCCAGGAAGGATGAAAAGCAAGCCTACCCGCATCTCATCACTACAAATGGCACCCAGACGTGGACAACTGAATCCACAGAAAGCCTGAGAAAGCTTGGGAAAGAATAGAGTAAAGCATGTTTTCTTGGTAGCAGAAATTTCTCGGGTCTGCTCTGCTTGTTAGAGGCAAGCAAGCGCTCTCATCTAAGAGAGGCTTCCTGACTCAGCTTTAGATGCAAAACCTTGCAGCTCTTTTAAGAGGTCCTGCCACAAAACACATAAATCGTGTTGATGAAAAGCTGAACACATGCTTTTCGGTTTTCAGCCGTAGCAGGAAAAAAGCTGTGCCGCTTTAAAATGCTGACTTTCTGGGTCATCCTGCCAAGGCAAACTCTGACTCTTTCAGGCAGGCAGTCCGACTGAGTGTGGTCCGTGAGCAGAATGCTGCAGCTTGCTTGCTAGCAGGGACCTTGAAACACTGTAGAGTTGTGGCAATGAACACGGTTCTAGCCGGTACCTCAGCCACAAGGCTGGAATAGCAGAAAGCTAAGGAATAGGCTGGATCCAGCCAGCAAAGCCACAGCTTTAATCCTACCCATATTGCTCATTAAATTAAAGACACATGTGTTCACAAAAAGAGAGATATACAGTAAAGATAGATTCAAAGATGAAGAAAACCTCTAAATGGTTTACTATGTGTTAAAAAATATATGTAGGCTAAAGGTTAAAGTTCCTAAAAAAGAAAGAAAGAGAGTAGTTGGGTGTGGTAGTAGACACCTTTAATTCCAACACTTGGGAGGCAGAGGTAGATTGACCTCTGAGACTTCAAGGAGCAGAGGTAGATTGACCTTTGTGACTTCAAGGTGTGGTAGCGCACACCGTTAATCCCAATGCCTGGGAGGCAGAGACAGACGGATCTCTGAGAGTTCAAGGACAGCCTGGTCTACAGAGTTATTCCAGGACAAAGATATACAGAGAACTTGCCTCAAAAAATAAAAGTAAAAATAAAAATAAATGAAATAGAGGTTAAAATAAAGCCACACAAAGATGGAAAATGCACAGAGAATCTTGATACTATGAATTGTTTGAATGCTGAGGAAGGAGCAACAGCTGCTAAAAGATATTTGTTTATAAATGCTGCTGAACTAATCCAAGATAGATATTTTGAAAATACTTTGACTTTAAAATTTGGATCTAAGGGCATGATGCTTTGGAAAGAAGTTTCTTCTTTAGTTTTCACAGAGGATGAGACCCTGTGTATTGCTTCTATCCCAATATGGTATGATAGACTGTGCCCTCCTGAAAGGTTGCTGTGAACACCTTCAAAAAATTACTTTGCTCAACTGCCAACTGAGATGAACCTAGCAACAGGTTATACTGTGAAAGACCTAAATAACAGTGCCCCCATTCAACACGAAGCAGTTTGGAGAGAAAAAACTGCGCCCATCTTCCCAAATATTGTTTATAAATGTTCTTTTACATTTAAAGGGGGAAATGATATAGACATGAATAATTTACATTGGTATAATTTTTACTCTATTGATATAATTTTAAGGTCAATTTTGTTATATGTATATGCATTTCTGATCTTGATTAAGGTATTGTGATTGTGTAGTTCATTTAAAAATGTAATGTATAATTAGAAAATATAGGTTGTTAGTGGATAATCATCGATAATAGTCAAGCTTGTAGTCATGTAAGATTTTCTAGATGTGCATAGATATATTTCAGATAGGCATTCTTCATATCTTTCAAAGACTATAGAATATGGCATTTTAAATGTCTTAATAACTTAGGATTGTTCATGATAGTGAGACATGTCTGCTCCTGACAGCACCAAGCTACTTTGAGAGGAAGATGGGCATCGAAGAGGCTCCTTATGGAGTTTGATAGTCATTTGGGCAAGAAACTGCTCTTGCCTGGACTGTTGCATAAACTGGACACAGAGAACCCACAGAGAGGACTGCTGAACTTGCCTAAAGGTGAGATGGTCTCTCGGGGTTCCTGATTTATGAAAGAGTCTATGAGACATTCTGCAGGACACAGCAAAAAGAGACTGAACTGTCTTTGAAATTTCCTGCTTCATGGAAGAGTCTGCTGAATACTATGGGCCTGAAGGCAGAAGATAGATGCCCAAACGGTACAGAGGAACTTTAGGTGACTGTCCAGACAGCAAGATGTCTCTGTCATTTCTAGAGTTTTGGAAGTTGCTTACTTCTTGTTTACTTAGGTAATATTATATCCTTCTGGAGTCTTTGATGGAGTTGAAGAATGGATAGTTATAGTTTTCCTTAGTTATGATAAAAGATAAAATAGGTATAAATATTGTAACTATAATTCTTGCTTGATAACTGTTTTGTTATATGTAATTTTACTATGCTAAAGTTAAAGCCTTTCTTTTTTGTTTAAACAGAAAAAGGGGAAATGATGGAGGAGGGTCTATGTGTTACTTTCATTGGTTAATAAAGAAACTGCCTTGGCCCTTTGATACGACAGAAAATCAAGTGGGTGGAGTAGACAGAACAGAATGCTGGGAGGAAGGGAAGTAAGTCAGACGCTATGGAGCCAGCCATCAGGTCAGACATGCTGAATCCTTCCCGGTAAGCTACCACCTCGTGGTGCTACACAGATTATTAGAAATGGGTTAATCAAGATGTGAGAGTTAGCCAATAAGAGGCTAGAACTAACGGGCCAGGCAGTGTTTAAAAGAATACAGTTTGTATGTTGTTATCTAGGGTGTAAAGCTAACCATGAGGGAGCCAGGCAGGATGAAAAGCAGGCCTGCCTGCAGCTCATCACTACAAGTGATGATCCTTAAAGTTATCAGAAGGTGATTTCCCCAGGGGCACACTGAGGACTACACAGATCAGGAATGACAGGGGACTTCTAACTTTGGTTTATGATTATGACTACATAGATGTGTACTTTATTGTAATAATTCCTCAACATATATGAAAATTGATTTTATGTCTAATTTTTTTTTAAAGATCCCCTTCAAATATCTTCCCTAGTGGCTTCATCATGTCCTCATCCCTTGCTCAAAGCCAGCAGTCCTTGCAGAACTCAGCATGGGTTGGCTGAAGGGATTCTCTGTGCAGCAAACCAAATGAAGCACCTCATGGGTTCAAGCCAATTGCCCCCACATAAGACAAAGGAATTCAGTATCTTAACACATGCTTGGGTGATAACTCATTAGGAGCTCCAACACTGCTGGTTTTCTAAAGAAGCTTCATGCTGAAGTCATTCAGCACAGGGGCTGGTCTGGACACATTCCTCCTGGGCTGAAAATGATCTTATTTTGAAATCTTGGCAGAGTCTAGACTGGAATACAATCCAAAACAGTGACCTTCTAGGACCAAGTAAGGAAAAAATTTCATCTAGCTTTTCTACCAAGGGAATCAAGTTCTATTTGCGTTCTGTGAACATGTATCTATACCTTCCAATTTTAAGCAGTTCCAGGTGAACCAATTTAAATTACTAACTTTCCCTACCGCTCCTACTTGTCATTTCTCCTTCAGCTTTTATGTCACCATCTCCCAGTTTTCTTCCTAGACTTTCTCCTCACACACACCTTTCAATATTGGCCTGCTAAGCTCTCAAGTCCTTTTCTTGCTCTACTTTCTTTCTTAAGTGATCTTATTTGCTACTAATAATCCCAGAGTCTAGGACTAAGGATGCATAAAAACAAAAACAAACAAACAACAACAACAAAAACAGAAAAGAAAGCCTATTGCCCCCAAATTCCAGAATTTACTTTGCATGCCCCAAACTAACTTACATCGTCCTCTCTCCATATTGTCCCCTTCCATTCATTCCCCAGGTAGTGGCCCATTACCTCCAACTGCCACAACAGAACCTGCAAGTCTCTTTAATCCTTTCCTTACTCCCTCCAATAATCATCAAATACTGTATCACTGCACAGCCAGTCAGGACCTCTCTGCCGGTCCACTCTAAATCTTTCTAATCTGAACACTGTGAAGCAACCACATAGACTTTTCTAAAGAGATTCTGGTACTAAGAACTGCTTGATTAAAATCCCATTCATTAAACAAGGCCCAGAGCATCAGCCCAATCTTGCTATGTCCTGTTCTCCAAAGACCACCTCTCTCCCAGCACCAACCTCAGGAGCTTAAGAAGGATGCTTTTCCATCATATCGAATGAGGTAACCCAGACCCAGAAAGGCAATTATCATATGTACTCACTCGTAAGTGGTTTTTAAACATAAAGCAAAAAAAACCAGCCTACAAATCACAATCCCAGAGAACCTAGACAACGATGAGGACCCTAAGAGAGACATACATAGATCTAATCTACATGGGAAGTAGAAAAAGACAAGATCTCATGAGTGAATTGGGAGCATAGAGACCATGGAAGAGGGTTGAAGGGGAGGGGGAGGGGAGAGGAAAGGAAAAAAATGTATAGCTCAATAAAATCAATAATTAAAAAAATTTTTAAAGGGGCTGGAGAGATGGCTCAGTGGTTAAGAGCGTTGCCTGCTCTTCCAAAGGTCCTGAGTTCAATTCCCAGCAACCACATGGTGGCTCACAGCCATCTGAAATGAGGTATGGTGCCCTCTTCTGGCCTTCAGGCATACACGCAGAAAGAATATTGTATACATAATAAATAAATAAATATTTAAAAAAAAATTTTAAAAAAAAGAATGTTTTCACTGACTCCAAGACTCCTTCACTAGGCAACATTTCTGAATACCTTAGTCCAGGCTGTCTTCCTGTCCTATCTTCTTTTAGAAGTTTTCTCTTTATAGCCTCAGTGTATTTCTCTCCAAATATGCTGAATAGGGTAACAAACCATACCTAACAGGTGAACAAGTCGACTAACTAGATAAATAAAAATGGTAGAAAAACATGCCTGTTTTAACATCAATAAATCTGCCACAAATTTATACTCAGATTTCAACAGCACCAGTACGAATTCAATCACTGCTAACCAACAGAGGGGACTAGACTGAACTTCTCAATTGGATCATCTACTTATGTGACAGCTATGAATTACTTTCCACACTTTCTAGATCCCTCTCAAGCTCTAGCCTCTATTACTCACACCTGAAGAGCTGGCCAGACCTTCCCTACTCCCCCAGCAAGAAACAGCTCTTTGACAAGTACAGTGATATACGCCTTTAATCCCTACATTCAGGAGGCAAAGGCAGGTGGATCTCTATGAGTTTAAGTCAGCTTGGTCTACATAACAAGTTCTGGACAACTAGAACTACACAGTTAGACTCTGTCTCAAAAAGAAAAGAATATTTGTTCTTCAGTATTTAAGTCACCAAACCACAAAGAGAATAATCTAGACATCTGTAATTAGGTAACTGCCTAATTAATTACCAAAAAAGTTTTTTTTTAATGCATATGGATGTTTTGCTTGCTTGTATGTCTGTGCACCACAAGCATGCCTGGTACCCACAGAGGTCAGTGGAGGGTATCCGATCCTGTGGAACGGGAGTGGGTGCTGGGAATTGAACCTGGTCCTCTGAAAGAGCAGCCAGTGCTCTTTACTGCCGAACCATCTTTCCAATCCCAATATATTCTAAAAGTAAGATATATTTCTAAGTCTGTCTTTCAGGACAGTAATAATCACTGGGGCAAGGAAGCAGCTCTTAGTGAGAGCAGGTGGAAGGCGCTACTAACAATGAGCTCATACTAATGTTTTCCAAATACTTACCTGCTTCACAACCTGCCTGGTTAGGGATCTGACTCATGGCTTCTGACATGAGTTAGATCGACATGACACATTTCCTCAAAAAGAAAATGTGTTCACAACACACTCCACAAAATAATCCTCAGAGGACAAACACACTGATGTCCTATTATTACCATCAACTATAATCTCCAATCAGTTAGGGAAGCCCAAAATACCCGCCTGAGTAACAGTTCTCCACAGACTGGGGTATCTTGCAGATAAGGAGAAGCTTAGAATCCAACTCTCACTTCTGGCCACTTTACAGTTTCTCAAAAACAGAAAAGCTGTTGTCTTTACCTGGACATTTCACTTCCTCTCACATAAAGGTATTATCTGCTTTACCATCCTCCAACCAATGCATCCACCCATCTCATCCCATAAGAGCAGGCAAGTGCTTCAATTCTACAACTTCAAAGAGCTCAGAACAACAGATAAACCCAGTAAATGTCAAGTGGCAACTCAGGCCACAAGGATAAAACCTACTTCATCAATGCCTTCTTCCTCATGAAAGGTACGAGACAGGAAGAGGCAGGTCATGGTGTCCTCCTTCTTAGTGAAGAGAATAAAATCCTTCCCAATGCGCATTGAGCCCCTGAAAAGGAAACAGAAAACAGATCACTCTCCCAAGGACTCAAAGCTCATCTGGAAAGGGAGAGCACCTTCTTGGCATTACTGAGTATGACCAGAGGGCCCTCTTCAAGACCACCAATGGCCCTACTCCCGAGAGATCCCACAGCCCCTGTCCACTTGCACTCAGCCAGCACTCCTTGCTGTGCCTTCCTAATGGTCTCTAATTCCTTAGTCTATAACCTCCTTGAGCAAACTTCCCTCTCACCATCCTTCTAGAATATAATCGCTCAGACGACAAGTCCCAGGTTTGCTTTCCTCCCAGCTTACTGCCACAGCCCTAACAAGAGAATCTAATGGAGCTCCAGGTTCATGGGGTCTTCTGTGACACCACTCGTTTAACTCCAAAAGTGGACACCTTGAACACATCATCTTCTTTTTGGGCAACACCCTGTTTCTATCTGTCTTTTTACTACACTGTCAAGAGAAGAGTCTCACAAGTCTTTCAAAAATCAGCATGAATGCAACATTTATCAAAACACAAATGCTAATTTTTTTTCTTCGATCATGATATCAGGCCCAGTTCAAAATTTGATCTTTGAAAATAGTTCAAAGAGGAGTACATCCATGTCCCGTAACTCTAGCCATTTTCGGTCTCAGAATTGCTTTGCTACTTTGAGCTAATTCTGAAATAGCCTCGAGTTCGTCTTCTACAAGGCAGTTTGGAGCTTGGCATACAGCAGAATGGTAGAACACTTGCCTAGCATGTACAAGGGCCTCGGTACAATCCCTAGAATCAATGGAAAACAAAACTCATCTGGCAAAAAAATCTAAATGCAATCAATGTCAATGGCTTCCTTCCTGTCTGGCCATGTTAATCCTCTATTGGAGCAGGCAGAGACAGGCTTCTTCCGGCAGCACAGGACACAGCAGAAGTATGAAGCAGCAGTAAGACTATCTACTCAACAATGAGGTTGTTTAGCTCCGTTTTTTTCTGAACAGCTTCTGGCTATTATCTCATTAGTCCTTACAATACCTCTGGGAGTAGAAAATGGTAGGAAGCCTCATTAATCTCTATATACAATTCAGACTGGCATGCCAGACACATAAATGAATCTCATGTCGCATTTCCCAAGCACTCAGGAAAATTCCCAAGACACTAAGTAGATGCTCTGGGGGCTATCAATTCTCCTTTTCCTGAAGATAGGACTACTTTTCCTGCAGGTTGTGGACAGCACTGCCTTTACTCAAACTTGAGAAGACTTTCTTTATATCTTTTTTGTTTCTGTTTTTGATCCTGACAATAGGGTCCGATTAGCAGAAACCCCAAAACACCACCTTTGCTAAACCCTATTCTCACTGTAAATCACCTCATGTAACTTCTTAACTTTGAACACTAGATGGCTCCAATTCAAAGGGACTTTCATAAAAGCCTCCAAAACATGTTGATAACTGCACTCTAACTCTGTACATGTTCTTTCTCAGTCTTCTAAGTACTTTCTGAGTCATACTTAACCGGCTCCTAAGGAGAGTATCAGCAGTTAGAACCTCATTTTCTAGGTTAGGAAACTGTCAGAGAGGTAAAGCTGAGTCTGCAGAACTGGCAGGACTAGATAGGAGCTGACTCTATTGGAGACCTCGGTTTTTACAGGTCTTAGATTTTCAGAATCCTCTGGGGAAGGCTCCCATTGTGATCACAGTCTGGGGACTCTCAAGGCAATAATAACAGGTGATCCTAACTATTTGTAAGTATGATCAATTTGCAAGAAGCCACAACTTTAGTGAATAAATGGCTGGATTGAGATCTGAACCCTTGACCAAAGTCAAATGGACAGTCCCTTCCATTTTCTAATCAGAAAGACCTGGTTTATATATTCACCCTTCAAATAAACACCTTTATACCATCAGGCAAGTCATTTCACTCATATACATCTAAATTTCATTGAGAATGCTAACAAAACCCACCTATCACAGGCTGAAGTGTGGCTTAAATGATATCACCCATACAAAGTTTTTAGCCACAGTACCCTCTGGCACATGGGGAATGCTTATTATTAACATTCAGATCCTTCCCTGAGAAGAAAGCCCAGGAACCAGGGCCCTGGTTTCTTTGGAAGCATTCTCTTCTCCACACCCAAAGCACAATGCACATGAAGCCCAACTGAGGCTGTTGACAGATCAAACCACCACCCTTTCTCACATAAAACAACGCACTTCCACAGCAAGATGGAACATGAGTCATAATCTCATTTGCACAAACTCCACTAAATAGTATTCTACCCAAAGGTACGTACAGCTGGAAGTGAACATTTCAGAAACAGAAACCTTTTCCTCAGAGCTTTACTCAAAAACCAGAACAACTAGTGTGGGACAATTCTGTATTCTGTCAATTATGTCTTAAATAAACCCTGATTGGCCAGTAGCCAAGCAGGAAGTATAGGCAGGACAACCAGACAGGAAGTAGAGATGGAACAATGAGAATTCTGGGAAGGAAGAAGCCCATTCCTCCACAGTCCTGTGTAGTCCTGTTCAGACACCGAAGATGCAGGATGTGACCTGCCCCGCTGAAAAAGGTACTGAGCCATGTGGCTAACATATAGTAGGATAATGGACTAATGTAAGTTATAAGAGTTAACAAGAAGCCTAAGCTAATGGATCAATGAATTTATAACTTATGGAGACCTCTGTAATTTTCTTTGGGGCTTGCCAGCTGTGAGGAACTGGGTGGGACAGAAACCCCAACAAGCAGGACCTAATGCTACAAACAACACATTCTAAGCACTAAACAAGTGGGAACCAAAGCCCAAGGGATATCCCAATAGACTGAAGGAATAAGATGGGTCTCCTACAATATGGCCTTAGAGGATGTCCACACAGGGCGTTCCAGGAGAACTGCCCCTTTTTCACTCTGGGTCCCCAATGTCCGGCACCACAAGCATACTGATACATTGTGAAGTGACTCCCTTGCCATCTCAAATACACCCCAGCCCAGAAGAGAACCACCCACATTTTCAAACACGGGATAAAACTATCTATTATTCAATAAGGGAAGAGAGACAGTTGTAGAGAACAGTGTTTTAGATACTCATACTACTCAAAAACTACTGAGAAAATTCAGCTAGATAGTTGGTAAACCACCCCCAACCATCTCTCCTTTCTGACTCTCCTACTGCTCCAGAGTTAATAGTCCTAGAGGGACAAAGGGATGAACAGCAAGAGCACATCATGTGATTTTGTGTTCAGCCCTACAGCAGGCTTTCAATATACATACGATTTTAATCCATTGCCATACTGCCCAATTTGGGTGGACTCAGGAGTTCGTTTGGCCGACTTCCCAAACTGGATCACACTGGCAGCATCACCTCAAGTGGTAGATAAGAGAAATAAAAAGTTAGCATTTCTTCCCCAGACTTCTCAAAGCTAGAGATGTGAGTCATGTTAAATATAAGCAAGGCTCTGTGCCAACAAAACCTCTCTCGAAGGAAAGTCAGTCATGAGGCATAAGAAAGTAATCCTTGCCTAGTCCATCAATACCACCACAGTGCCCTGTGTTGTTACTAGAACATGGTGAACAGTTTCAGGGGAAGAAGTCTCAGTAGTGACGGCTCCAGGATGTTGTGCAAGCTGATAAACACATTGTCAAGAGACAGGTAATCTAACTGATTTCAGATTGACATTCCGTGTTGTCCAAACACCTCCTATGTTAAGACAAGACCCAGCAAACACACAGTGTAATAAAGCCTGAGATGTTGCAACAGCTTCTCATTCCCTAGGTGGATCGTCTAGCCACAACAGTGAGGTCACAGAAAAGCACCTTTGATAGTAAATTGTTATGTTCTGAAAAAGAAACAGTCACCATAACCACTTACTTGGATCCATTCCTGCTCCATCATCCAAAAAGCAAAGCATAAATCCTCCTCGAAGGTCATCCCGCCTTTCTGTAAAAGAAGCAGCTGCCATTACTGGGCTGTTACCACTTACAGGGCCACAACCTGGGTACAGAAAGTGAACCAAAGTGAAGCCGGGTATAAAAGGATGGGTTAGTTCAAATCTAGTTTCTCCTAATAGTACTACTAAGCTAGTGTGAGTTAAACTTCAGGGCTCTTGAGGACATGAAGCTTCTCTAGTGCTTTCTAATTCACAACAAGGCTTCAGAGAATCTATTAGAAGAGACCAGTACTTAACATTCAAGATCACTGAATATGCATATCTTTTATATCTTTCTTTCTTATATATCATATCTATTTTTCTATATACCTTTTTATATATCAACATGATATACTATTACATCTGTCCAACATCATGGACCCCAAGTCATTTAAGTAATCTATTATGTATTATACCTTATCAACTGTTCAAACTCAACAGGGTACCTTCCTTTGTGATCTACGTCTGAGGTAACATTCAACGATGCAACATGTAGTAATAAGCACAATGGTGGCAGTTGCCACATAAAGATTAATTGCTATGTTTATATACTATCACCTCTAGACTAACTGCAGATTGTGAGCTATCTGTATATCTGTCATATCCCCTCCTAGATATGGGCCCTTGAAAAGCGAAATGACACAAGATTCAGCAAGTGGTTCTTAGTTCTGGGATAGACCTGCCTTGTCAGAATTACAGACCTTTAGCAATAATATTCAGCACAGTTTTGGCAGGGATTACTAGCCAACAAAAAGGAAACATGACACAAAACTGTGGCCTCCATTCTTATACGAGCACCATATGGTAACTCATAGCAAGTAGCAACAATAGAGTAAAGATTCTCAAATAAGGAAAAAGGCTATACTAATTTTCAAGGTGACTTTTAATTCAGTGAAGACTATGTAAACAATGGGAAAACTAGTCTTGGAATCAGATATGTAGATATCAAACAGAAAAGGGAGTGAGGCGGAAACTGAAGCAGGACCCAAACAAACCATGTAAAGAACCACTAAGATCAACCTCCCCAGTACAGATGTTGTTCATGGTCCACTGCTCAGCATAAGAATAAAAGTAACACATCTACCAAAAAAGAAGAAGCTGTGTAAAATAATATAAGGTCAAGGCCCAAGGCTACTTGGGAGCCTAGTTCCTAGAGTCCAAGCTTCAGTTCACTTTGTACAATTATCTATCCTGACAAATCTGTTTTAAATGCTTTTTCCCCCCACAGGGTAAAACTAAATGAGTCGTGACTGCACTCTGCTAAATAAACAAACTAATGCAAATTAAAATACTATTTTAGATGGGCCATAAACCACAGGGACTTGTAAGTATCTCTCAATGCTCAGGAGGCTGAACAAATGCCTCTTCAAAGGTCCAGAGTGAGGCTCTTCTAGAAGATCGTAGTAGATGAGAACATTTCTCCTAAGGCAGCACTTCTTATCAAAATCTAGCTCATCCAAGAGAAATGTGGCCAGCAGGAACAAGGGTTTTTTATTGTTCTTGTTTTTAAAGTATTAAAAGCTGCCCAAGTTCCGTCTATAAGAAACAGTCAAATAGAGACTCACAATGGATAAGGGACAGAGCATGTAGCAGCAGTGTCCTAGCACCTGCCCAGAGACATTTGTTGTATACAGTCAGAAAACTATCAAGACTCTCTTGGGATCTAAAAACTGTTTTGAGACAAATGCCACTTGAAAAGTTCCCAAGACCACTGAAATCCCTTGAATAATACCCCAGAGCTGACTTCCTAGGCTTGTGTTAGGGTAAAGGAGTCAGGCTATTTCAGCAGTCATTGCTTCAAATGTGGGTTCAAGTTCTCCTAGTTCAAGGATTTATCTCAAAGCTTCATTTTTGTCTGGCTTTTTGTTTTTGTTTTATGGGACTACAGAGATGACTCAGTAGTTAAGAGCATATACTCTTTTTGCAGAAGACCCAAGTTCAGTCACCAAGAACCATACTGAGTTGCCCAAAACCACCTGTAACTTCAATGCTAGAGGATCTAATGCTCTCTTCTTGCCTCCATGTATACCCCCCACATGTGGCATATGTGCGCATGCACATGCGCAGAGAGAGAGAGAGAGAGAGAGAGAGAGAGAGAGAGATTTTTAAAGTAAGTTTCTTCATTCAGTTTACAGTACTATAAAACCATAAGAGTCCAGGTTGGCATTGAACTCCCCAAATAGTCAAGATGAGTACACTGATCCTCCTGCCTCTCTACCTCCTGTTAAGGATTAACACCAAGTGCTACAGTACCCAGTTTCTTACTGTCTTGACTGTTTATCTGTTCATCTGTAACCATTTGTAGTGTGCCATTTCTTTAATTAGGTATTAGGTTCTGAGAGCAAAGGCCTCATCTCATCCTCCGAACTTTCCCCAAAACAAATAAAAAGCACACTGAGCGCTCCTTTTATAACCTAACTTTCTTAAATTTCCTTGCTAAAATTTACCCAATGAAGATGGTAGAAGGGAATAAAGAAGATCTTTTCTTTATAACTTCTTAGAAAGACCACTATGAGGATATATTCCTTCAACATCACTTCAAGTGGAGGCTCATGTTTCTTTATCTTCTGGGAAATGATGTGAATAGTCAGTTTCTTTGAGAGGTAACTGCCAGCACTCCTGCATGCACACTCAGCTATGGCCTGGAAAGGTGGCACCATCTAGGAGATTTAGCAATCATCATGTTCAAGTCTTACAATACTACTTTTTCCTCTTACTTTCCTCTAAGATTAGAAAGTTACATAGCGTGTCTCTGTCTAAAAGCCCAAAAACAACAAACAACAACAACAAAAAAATCCAAAGTATTTCTACCACTTTGGCAGCCTTTTCTACAGGTAGCTTTCAGAATTTGTGAATAGCTGATATGTAGGCATTATATTTTCTTTTTTCTCCAAAATAATTTACTCTAAGTCCTTTGTCTTATCTAGAGAATCTTCCTAACAATACAACACCAGAGGTTCTGTGTTTATTTCCACTTATCAAAAGATTCCATGAAGAGGGTTATCTAGTAACTGTATATTCCACATAAACAAAGACTTTCAAAACTGTATATTCCACATAAACAAACTTTTTTTGAGCATATGCTCAAAATATGACCGAAAATCTTTCAGATTTAGAAAAGAATGTCAATAAAATATATCACATTAGCCAAACTGAGTTTAAGAATTGTCTTCTATTTCCTTGTTCAAGTTTTTAGGATCAAAATGATCAAAAAGGTATTGCTATAAATATTGAATGGGCAGAAAACAAATAAAAAGCCAATTGACAATAACTAAAAACTCTGTCACTGTCATCGTAACTCTAGGACAAAGATGATCTTACAATATAAAAGTAAAACCAACTGAGCAAACAATAGAGGATGTCACAGCATCCAGTTTTAAGCCTAACATTTCAAAAAGATGTTTTATTTATAATGCCTATTGTCAACTTGACTACATCAGGAATTAAATGGAATCCAGCAATGGAGAGTAGAACTGTGAGGGATTTTCTGCTTGGTTTGAAGTGAGTAGATTTACTTCTTATCTGGACCTTTGAGGAAGGAAGACAGGTGCCTTGATCTGGCAGGAAGATACACCTTTAATCTGAGCCACACCTTCTATTGGAAACCTCTACAGGGCAGGAAGAAGGAAGCTCTCTATATCATAGTCTGCTTGCCCCCACCTTGCTCGCCCATCCATTCCTTCACTGGCATTGAAGCCTACCTCACTGGTATCCAGCATGTACTGAAGACTAGCTGAGACATCCAGCCTTGTGCACTGAGCAACTACTGGATTCTTAGATAGTCAGCAACTGTTAGATTAGTTTGACTGAAACCTATAAATCACTCTAATAAATCCCTTTTATATGTAGAGATTCATTTCATAAGTTCTGTTACTCTAGAGAACCCTAATTACAAATTTTAGTACCAAATCTGGCTCTAGAACAACAAAAGTGTAAGGATGAATCTTTTAAGTATCTGTAACAGGCTTTTCAATTTGCTAGCACCTACAGTTACTGAAGCCTCTCCAATTATCCCTTCTCCTGGGAATTCAAAGAATATTGAAAGCCCATGGTATGAACCATATAGTGAGATAAATGCTTTAGATTATCCTGGTTCACCAATTGTGAGTGGGAAAGAATTTGGGGACCCTGTATGTGAAACTTTAGACAGTTTGGAGAAAAATAAGGGAAATGATCGTGCTGGTTGGTTGCTTAATTTATCTCTGGATGAACTGACAAAGGATAGGGATGAGCTCTGTGACAAAAACCAATCAACTTCTAGTATCTCAGAATTTTAGTGATAAAACTGACCAATTCTAGATGCACAAAAACAGTCTAAAAGTTTCTAAGTGTGGCCTAGAAGAGAATCTTCTGTCCAGCAGCCACAGAACTCAAGTTGTAGAAAATCAAGCTAAAGCCCTCATTATAAGGCTGAATTACAGAGAAAACTCAAGTTCCAGCCTCAGATGGATGGTATCCACAGTTAAAGGAAGGGCATTAGCTGGTGGAAACTGGGATCCTATAACTTGGAGTGGAGATGTATGGGAGGAACCTACTGAGGCTGAGAACTTTGAATTCTCAGATTCTCGAGGTTTGTTTTTTTTTTTTTTCCCTCACCTCAGGAAGTAGTACCCTCAGTACCATCCCTTGAAATACTGCCTATTTCACCTTTGACCAAGGAAATTAATCCTTCCTCTGAAGGAGAAATGGCCAGATGTGCAATTATTTACTGATTCATGGGCTTAGAGCCAATGGATTGGCTAGATGGTCAGGGACTTGGAAAGAATCATGGAATTAGGTGAGAAAAACATCTGGGGAGGATGTATGTGCATAGATCTCTCCAAATGGGCAAAGGATATGAAGATACTTGTGTCCCATGTAAATGCTCATCAAAAAGTGACTTCTGCTGAGAAGCTCAATAATCAAGTAGATAGGATGACCTGTTCTGTGGACAGTAGCCTCTTTCCTCAGCCATTCCTGTCACTGACCAATGGGATCAATGAACAAAGCGGCCATGGTGGCAGTGATGAAGGTTATACATGGGCTCAACAACATGGACTGCAACTCACCAAGTGACCTGGCTACAGCTACTGCTTGCTGAGAGCCAGATATGACAACAGCAGAGACAATCACTGAGCCCCAGATACAGAACCATTTCCCAGGGTGACCAGACCACCTGGTGACACATTGACTACACTGGACCATCTCCTCCATAGAAAGAACACTTTGTCCTTACTAGAGTAGATGCTTATTCTGGCTATGGATTTGCCTTTTCTGCCTTTCCTCCTCCAGGAAAAGAACCAAGACCTGCTGAGATGCTTGCAAGGGTGGAGGAAATAGAGCTAAGGTCACATGACCAGTAACAGAAACAAGGATCATAGTTGACATGAGTATTGTATTTTGTTAAAAATGTGTTTATGCAGGTATCTGTGTTTTCCTTCACTTTCCTTCTTGTGATATAAGTTTGAGATACTAAAAGAATGCCTCCCAAGGGACACTGCCACCTATTCTAGATTTATAATGCATTTGTGGTTATACAATGGATAGTTATATCAAGTTAGGCATAATTATGACCTGGTTAAATATATAATGTGCTTCTAATTATATGTGGGATAATTGCATTATATTTAGGCATTATTATGACCTAGTTATTGTCTTCATTTAGAAATAATTACAGCATAAAGAGATATGAGTGTATGTCAAGTTGACAAGGAGTGGACTTGTGATGACTATTCTTGGTTGTCAACTTGACTACATCTGGAATTAACTGGAATCTAGAAATGGAGGGTACACTTGTGAGAGATTTTCTGCTTGATTTGAAGTGAGTGGATTCATTTCTTATCTGGACCTTTGAGGAAGAAAGACACATGCCTTGATCTGGATCTCAAGGCAGGAAAATACACCTTTTAATCTGGGCCACACTTTCTGCTGGAAGCCTATATAAGGACATGAAAGATGGAAGCTTTTGCTCTTTGCTTGCCTCCACCTTGCTAGCCCATCCATTCCTTCACTGGCATTGGAGCCTACCTCTTTGAAGACTAGTTGAGACATCCAGCCTTGTGGACTGAGCAACTAGTGGGTTCTTGGATACGCTATTCACAGCTAGCTATTGTTGGATTAGGTGGACTGAAGCCTGTAAGTCATTCTAATAAATCCCCTTTTTATATATATCCTCTCTCACTATATATATAGTGTGTGTGATTCATTCTGTAAGTTCTATTACTCTAGAAAAGCCTAACACATGATCTCAGCATCTCTATAAACCAATTACCAGCAATTTTCTGCAACTGATACCAGCAACTTTCCAGGGAAAAACCTGTTACCAGGAGTAGTGAAGGATTAATTTCAACAAGACCCTGTCTTCCAGAAAGATGACTAACACTGGATCATTGTACTTCCCACTACTCTATTCCAGCACCCTCTTAAAGCTCCTGGGTTTTAAGACATATGTGGTCGGATCTGCCCCATTTCTACCTAGAGCATGAAGAAATTCTATCATCTCCAGGCTCCAGAAGCCATTTATTTCCCACTCACTTCTTAGGCAATAAAAGATCTAAAGTCTGGCTTACCAGCATAAATGTCTATTCTGGTGGCATCAGCATCTCTGCAAAAGGAAAAAAAAATCTGAGATATAGATGAGAATTTAAAGTATCAACCAGCAAAATACACAGTATTTTAAGAGTAATGCATATTATTTTGAATTGTTCAAGCTATGAACAATTCAGATATAGTAAATATATGCATATATTTAAATATATATATTAAAGTTTTGTTTTTATACTTGACCACAAAATTTTCCTGACATATCTATGAAATATTTCAAGCACTCCAAATTTATTAAGATGCATGACACACAGAACCTGGGTACAGTTTTAAGAGTCTCATACATGCTGGTATCTTCAAGCTCACTTTGACTGAGGAAATTAATCTTTCATTGTCTGCTAAACTAGCAGTGACTTCCTCTGAAGGAGAAGTGGCCAGATGTAAGATTGTAGTTAAATAATGTGTGATCTAGTACATTTCCATGAGCAGGTAACAAGAATATAGTAACAAAAGCAATAATAAAAGTCAAGTATGGTAACACACATCTATAATGGCTACACTCAAAAGACTGAGGCAGGAGGACTTTGGGCTGTATAGTAAGGCCTGTCTCAAAAACACAAAAAGTACTAACAGTATACACTATACTAACAGTTGTACAGACATTAGAAATTACAAGTAAATTCACTAACTGAGGAAGTTTCAAATTCTACTATCAACTCTTACCCTCTTCTTCCTTCATTATGTCAACACTAGTCAATAAGTATCTAAATTTTAGAGTTTACACTAAAACCAAGACAATATTTTGTTAATATAACTATAAGAGGAAGAGGTCAGCAGATCTCTGTAAAGTAAACGTTAATTAGCCTAGTCAACACAGTGGTTACCAGGCCAGCCAGAGTGAGGTCCTGTCTCAAAATAACAAAAAAACCCACAACGGAAGATACTGATTAAAGAGTAGTCACTTGTAATAAAATAACTATTTGGGGGAAGATGCACAAATCTGGCCTAGTTTTAAAGACATTCAGCAGTACAGTGTCTTGGCAACACAAACTAATACTCTATGTGTCCAATTAGTTTGACTCTCCAGTTCCTATCTTAATTCCCTACTTCTCACAATTATCAGATGCTGATACACAAGGGAAGGTGGTTTGGAAGTGGTAAGTTTCCTATTTTTAGGTTGGAACACAAAGAGCAATGAATGAATTTAAGGTAATCAAGAAAGTGTCAAATACTGTGATAATAAAAATACTTTTTGCTAACGAGTCTCTTAGGAGTTGCAACATATACAACAAAAACATCTTTCTCTCAAGTCATCAGAGAGCAAAAGTCATGATGATCCATAAAGCTCTCCCTCTAAGCAATTGAAGGCTTGAAGACTACATACCTCGCATTATCAACCAGTTCAGCAAGAGCACCAAACAAGAATTCATGAGTGGTTCTGAAATAATACATTTTAAGAGTTAACAAAAGAATTATGACCTGAGCTATGAGTCTTAAGGTTATAAACATTTAAAAGGTTTAGAAAACATCTAAAATCCACATGTGCATCACTGATGGAACTACTAAATATAAACTCCATAACACAAGCCTTTCTAGAGCTGATTCCCCACAAATCAAGCCCTGCCATTTATTCAGGAATGTTTACTTTTCCTATTTTTAATTGAAAACCCACCTTAAAGAACCTTGAAATTTTTACATGTACTATTAAAAGTAGTGATAGTATGAAAAAAAGAGTAATAGCCTAGAAAAAAAATGCCTCTATTTTATCTTTCATTGATTTAACCAGCTGTCGGTTTCTGCACAGGAGGAATTGTAAGCAATTATAAACATACATCTTTACAAGTAAGTATCTTGAGTTCTGAATAATGACAGGTATCTTCACAAAACCCAAACTTTTAGAAGCTTCCAGGAGATAATCACTGAAGCCTCCACTTAAAAAGTTATTTTTTCCTTGGACACCCAGAAGACCATACCAAATGGTCTTCTTACCCTTGCAGGAGAATTTCTTACATTTTTTTTTTTAAGGATCTTAGTCAAAGACCTGATTTTAGCCAACATCTGGGGAAGTTGAAATGATCTGCGCTACCTCCCGCTCTGAGAAGAGGGGATTTCACTTACAAGCTGCACAAAACCCATGCGTCTCCTCTTTTCCCTGGGACAGCTCACACACAGGTATGCTCAATTTACACTTTCTTAAGTTGTACAATTTCCTACAACAGTCTTCACTAACTATAAAGAGGAACAGGTCGATATAGAACCATCCACAAAATCGGCTTGATTTTTAAAGGAAATACAAAGTTATAGACACAAACTATAATCAACTCTCATAAATTTTTTCTTGCTTTTTCATGTTTAGTCAATAATCAAAATGGCATTTTCTAAACATTTAGAATGAAATATAACACTAGTACCCAGCATTTAGGATCTCTGACCACTTACGATATTGTTTTAAACTGTGAACCATTTCTTTATAAAAACTCTAACTGTCCAGGAAAACTGATTTTCTTAAGGTTATTCTTCAGCTTGTTTTTTAAACTGTAAACTTTTAATAAATAAAACTACCTCTTCCTAGAATTCTAGAAAGACATTTTCTCCCATGAGATCAGTGAATATATCTATTGCTAATCCAAAGGCAGTAGGACCAAGAAAGATGTTGCAGCAAAATGCAGACGTTTTATCACCAATTCACTTATGGAATGAAGCTCAAATTCTTCCAGATAAAATCCAAATATTAAGTACCTGACATGGAAGAATCAAACTTCTAATAGAAACCTTGCCTTAAAAAGTCATCTCTTTATTATAAATATTTGAGTGTTCACAGTTATGATAGCAATGCCTGAAATCCCAAGACCCTATAATGACATCATCCAAAAGGTAGTAAGATGAAGAACTCAAGGCCTGCCTGGACTATGTAGCAAGATATTATCAAAAAAAGAAAAATTTAAGTAATTTTCAAAATTTTTACTTTTTTTAAAAAAATGACTTGTATATATGTATATAGTGTTCTGATTGCATGTATACCTCCAGGCCAGAAGCCAGATGGTCATAAGCCACCATGTGGGTGCTGGGAATTGAACTCAGGTCCTCTGGAAGAGCTGTCAGTGCTCTTAACCTCTGAGCCATCTCTCCAGTCCCTCAAAATTATTGCTTTAAATTTGCCAAACTATCAGTTGGGATAAAAAAATGCCCCATGTACTCCACTCCATATCTGTATAGGGCAGTGGTTCTCAACCTGTAGCTCACAGCTCCTTTGGTAATACTCTATTTCCAAAAATATTTATATTACAATTCATATCAGTAGCAAAATTGCAATTATTAAGTAGCAACAAAAATAATTTTATCACCACAACATGGGGAACTGTATTAACGAGTCACAGCATTAGGAAGGTTGAAAACCACTGGTATAGGGAGAGGGCTGGTGATACAGGTCTGTGGCACAGTATCTGTCTAGCATGCATAGGTGTTAGATTTAATCCTCATGGGGGGGAGGGAGAGGGAGAGAGAGAGAGAGAGAGAGAGAGAGAGAGAGAGAGAGAGAAACAGGCAAACAAGCAGGCAGATACACAAAGAGGCAGGTTGGAAAATTAAGATGAATTGTTATAGATAATGTTAATTAAAAGCCAATCTGAGTGGTGGTGGTACATGCATTTAATCCTAGCACTTAGGATGCAGAGGTAGGCAGATCTGTGAGTTCGAGGCCAGCCTGGTCTATAGAGTGAGTTCCAGGACAGTCAGAACTGTTATACAGAGAAACCTTGTCTTGAAAAACAAACAAAAAAGTCAATCTAGAGACAGAGGACATAACTCAGCATCTGAGCACTTGCATACCATGTGCAAGGCCTAGGTTAGATCCCTAGTACTTAAGACAAAAAAGTCAATCTACAGTTAGGCATGATGGCACACAACTGAAATTCCATAAAGCTGAGGGACAATAACAAGTTTTAGGTAAGCCTAGGCTATATAGCTAGATTATCTTTAGAACAGAATTCTTGTGGGGACTCTGCTTTGAGCAGTGGCTGTTTCACAGCCACTAAGGTTTCTCTGAGATGCAATCACTGCAGTTGAAAACTACCCCATACCATGATGACTTGAAAACACAGTCAGCACTGGAAAGTTCTGACAGTCTCTAAAGAGACTGAATTTTTTTTAAAGTAGGTAATCTAATATTTATTCTCAAGCTTTCAGTCATCTTCTGTTCTGATGTAAGTCATAAAATTACATCAAATTAGTTTTATATACAATCCAGACTGGTGTGTAGAAATATAAACTAGAAACTCTATTTTTAATCATTTTCATTTATTTAAACAAGAACATGTTTTTATTTTAACGTAAGTCAGTGAATCTCAAAAAAAACCCCTGATGTATGGTAATAAAAGCACACTAGACTAAGAATACGAGTATAACTTGCATCAGAATGTTGCATATAAAACAGATAAAACTGATAAAACAGAGCTCAAATTCTTCTGGCTTAAAAGAAAATGACGTTTCTAGGCTGGGCATGTAACTCAGTTGGTAAGGTGCTTGACTAACATGTACAACAAAAAACTAGGTTTGTAGTATAAGCCTAAAGTCCTAGAACTCAGAGGTGAAGGCAAGATTATCAGTTCAAGGTGATTCTTGGCTACTTATCAAGTTTAAGGTTATTAGCCCTGGCTACAAGAAACCTTATTTAAAAAGAAAGGAAGGAAGGAAGGAAGGAAGGAAGGAAGGAAGGAAGGAAGGAAAAGGTTTCTGGCTTCTGATTATAAAACTGTAAGTAAGAATTATGGAGACAGTAATAACATCCTTTGTCACAAGAACAAAAAAAGTGTAAAAAAGCACTATGTACTTCCAACTGTTTCATATAAAAAATGAGACATTGAGAATCTATTAAAAGGCTATTAAAAGGGCAAGCACGCAGCACTTCTAGCTAAAATCTCACTGTACTCTATGTAAAGTTTAGGAATGTGCTTTGTACATATAAGAGCTAAGAAAAAAATTTCAAATCTCGTTACTAGCAGTATCATTAGTATTTTATACACACATATTTCAGATAACCTAATAGATACTAAATGTAGCTAGAGTATTTTGTATGGTAGCAAACATCATTAAAGGGCTTTCTGTTAAGGTCAGAAAAAAATAGAATCTCATGAGATAGATGGAGCTTAAAGACGTTGACATCATTGTTCTAAATAATCCTTAAAAAATCATAAAACACACACACACAATGCATGAAGTTCCTTTTTTGCCAAATATTTCAAAAGGTACACTTGCTGCTGGTTAGCATGTGAGATATAATTAAATATTTTTAAAGACATTTCTCAAGTCAGGCAAGGTGATGTACACCTTTAATCCCAGCACTCAGGTAGAGGCAGGTGGATCGGTTCTCTGTGAGTTGAATCCAGCCTGGTCTATCTGGTCTATATAGTGAGTTCCAGGGCAGCGGCAGCCAGGGCTACATAGAGAGACCCTGTTTCAAATTTAAAAAAGAAAACAAAGAGGGGGGCTGGAGAGATAGCTCAGTAAAGTGCACTGACTTCTCTTCCAGAGGACCTGAGTTCAATTCCCAGCAACCACATGGTGGCTCACAACCATCCATGATATCTGGTGCCCTCTTCTGGAATGCAGGCAGAACACCGTACACATAATAAATAAATCTCTAAAAAAAAAAAGAAAAAAAAAAACCTTCACAGACCTAAATATCATTTGTACCTTATCTGAAGTCAACTAATCGAGAAAACACAAAGGTTTTTAAAACTCTGATGCTTCCAATTGATTTAACCATATGTGATCCAAAATAGTTTTGCAGTTCAGCATTTCCAGAATAAAATCAAACATAAATTTGCTTGTTATGTAAAAAAAAATGGTTTCTCTATGTAGACAACCTGAATTTAAAAGAAAAAATTGTACAAGCTCATAACAATGAGAGCTTTTGCTGAATTCCTGAATATGCTGACAATAGTTAATTGCCATAATTAGTACAGAAAAAAGCTAGCGGCACATGCCTTTCATCATAGTACTGGAGAGATAGAGACAAGCAGGGATCTCTGTGAGTTCAAGCTGAGAAATTGTGGAGTTATTTTACATTCAAATAGTGTGTGTGCACATACATGCATGCATACAAATATGATTGCCTTACATTTCAGCAGTCTTGTAAATCATATGAAACACAAGTCTCTGACTTCATAGGCCCCTGTACATTCACTTCTCATATGGAGAAAACCACTCAGAAATACCATATGCCAAAGGTAAGTCACAGAATGTTCCAAGAGTAATAGAAAAAAAAAGTCACCTTATACTTAAGCATTCTGATTACCTGACTACATAAAAGTATATCAAATGACTTAAGATACGAATCTTAAATTAAAAACATATTCCTCTTTTTTTTTTTTTTTTAGTTTTTCGAGACAGGGTTTCACTGTGGTTTTGGAGCCTGTCCTGGAACTAGCTCTTGTAGACCAGGCTGAAACATATTCCTCTTATGCCAAAGGAACCACTACTATAACAAGAATAGCAGTCATGAAAAAAAACTACCAAAGAGCTTAAAACTCCTTTTCTGTGGAAACCCTAGCCTGCATAATCCCATAAAAAGCAGCGTATACTATTAGAAGAAAGCAGATTTCTTTTTCAGACTATCAGCTATAATCAAGAATAACCATCAAGAGTAAGTATCATAGGATCTAATTTTTAAAAAAATTAAGACCTGTTCACTCTTTCCAACATATACTTCTGAATGTATCTGCCTAGGGATTGAAGATGGCTGGCTCAGTGGCTTAGAGCACATGTTGCTCTTGCAGAGGACTCAGGTTCAATTCCCAGTTCCCACATGGTGGCTCACAACCACCCCCTAACTCCAGTTCTAGGGAATCTGATGCCTTCTTCTGAACTTGGAACGTATCAGGCATGAACATGGTACATTTACATACATACAGGTAAAACACTCATACACAAAAAATAATCTTTAAAAATTGTCTAATGTCTAACATCAATGAGTAGGTTACAATTAGGTTTTAGTCTAGATAAAACAGTATAAAGAATAAACACCAATTGATTGTTATTTGGCATAATCCTCAAATACTATATTATCTCCATCTTACAAATGAAAAAAGAAAAAAACAAAACTGAGGCTTAAAAAAGCCGCAAGAAAAGAAGCATTCAAGTATAGAGTTTGAGAGTTTCTAAGTACAGGCTTTCCACCAAACCACAAAAATTTCTACTCCTCTAGTCCAGGCTCTGCTTGCAAGCCTAATACAAAGTAAATAAATAAATAAATAAATAAATAAAATGTTTTTATTTCACAATTCAAAATATAGTTAATATTGTTTGTGTAGTATCTAAAATTGTCTGGCATTTTTAAGATTTTAACAGAATAAAGCAGGTACCATAAGATCTTTCCTTCTCTGAAGTTGATTCTAACACACGTAAAATTTTTTAAAATTTTAGTTTCTCTAATAATGAACTTCCAATCAAATCATAATGACCAAAAGAAACAACAACAACAACAACAAAAAACCTCTTAAAATTAGTTACTAACAGAAAACTTAAGTTGAGGGCCCAGAGTGGTGGCCCTTAGCACTCAAGAGGCTGAAGCATGAGGATTAAGCCTAGCCTGGCTACACAGTACAAGCCTAAGTGAAAGAAAAAAGAATTCTCATTGTGTGTGGTGTACAGTTAATATTTTCTTAAGGTAAGACTAGCACATTCAAAGCAAGCAGATTCATTTCAAAGACCAAATCTGTGATCCAGATAAGAAATTCCAGAGTTTCCAAATGATATGCTAGCACAAGTTCCAATTCAACTCATTCAAGTAACTCAGTTTACTTCTTTGCTTTGGCAGTGTCCACAAACTGTTAATAATCCATAATACTCAGAAGCTTAATAAAATAAACCAAAATGAAAGACTTATAGATCAGGAAGCTAAGTCCTCTGCCTTATAGACAAGAAAAAAAAAACCTTCAAGGTAACATCAGCCAGCACTGCATAATGGTTAAAAATACTAAGCACTGTAGTCAAATCTGGGTACCGTTAATTTGCCTCTGCAACAACTTGATCTCTTAGAGCCTCAGTTTTCTCAAACACAAAACCAGAATAAGGGTCAACCTGTAAGTTTAAGCAATGAATTGCTTATACTCCTGTTATTGCATAAGTCAATAGTGAATCTGGAACAAGACAGATCTGGAAGGTCAATTTTCAAAGGTCTTCCAAATTTCTTAAAATCTGTAACTCCAAATTTGCCCTGACAGTCCAAAATTGAAATCTGATGAGTGCTGACATTATAGCACACAATCAGCCATGAACTTTTGAATAGTGCCCTTCATCTGCTTGTTCTTAATATGTAGTTTAAATATAAAGAACACTGATGCCAGGCGGTGGTGGTGTACACCTTTAATCCTAGATCCAGGGAGGCAGGTGGATCTCTGTAAATTCAAATTCAAGGCCACCTTGCTCGTTACACAGAGAAACCTTGTCTTGAGAAACCAAAAAAAAAAAAAAAAAAAAAAAAAACAAACAAACAAAAAACACTGAGAGCGTAGCCAAAGGTTGTGCTAGTATCTTTGATTAGTGACCTAGGTTCCAGATTCGCAATGTGTCCAAGGTAATCTCTATATAGTACCATCTCTAAACCAATTCACTTCAGTTAAAAAAAAAAAAAACTTCCTAAATGATGCAAAATAAAACCTCTCAGCATTAGACAAGCCACTGCTTAAAAAAAAAAAAAAAAAAAAAAAAACCAACAACGACAAAAATTCATTACTTCCTTTTCAGAAGTTTTTGTTTGTTTGGTTGGGTTTTGGGGTGGGGGGAGAGCAGTTGGTATTGTTTTGTTTTCTGTTTTGTTTTTTCTGAGACAATATTCTCTGTGTAGTCCTTGCTGTCCTGGAATTCAGAGATCTGCCTGCCTCTGCCTCCTGAGTACTGTACTGGGATTAAAGGCGTGCACCATCACTGACTGGCTCAGAAAAGATTTTTTAAAGTATTATGAAATCACAATAGGCTAAAAATCACTGCACTATTATGGGATAACTGAAGTCTATGCTTGATAATCTGCAGATGGATCTTCACTAACTAGACCATTTATTTATTTAGGTCTTAACTCCTCATCCCAGTGCTTTAATAGAATACTTACCTTGTGCTCAAAAGTCACAGGTGAATGTTTTTGGCACTACAAGGTAACTTAATGGTTTTAAGAACTGACCCTAGCTTGATGTGGTAGAGCACTCCTTTTATCTAGCACTCGTGGGGGCAGAGGCAAGCAGATCTCCATGAGTTCCAGGCCAACCTGGTCTATATAGTGATTTTCAGAACAGTCATAGATATGTAGAGAGACCGGACTTCAAAATAAATAAATATACCAACCCTAAAATACTCCACACTGAATCATAATGATGTTATCTCTTCATTTACTCAAAAACCATGAAAACAGCATGCTTCTGTGCTTTCATGCATTTTGGGGCAAGACTATCTAAACCAAGGGCTTTAAAGAATTCTCCACTCTGCTTAGCATATACAAACGACATTGGATATACTGCCAATTTGCCAATAAATAAATAAAGGCAATTGTTTGCTGAAAAAAAAATAGCTTTCTTCTTCCAAGTTGGTCATTTACGTGTCACCATCATCTTGTTGTCAGAAACACTTGTTATAAACCCAATTGTCTAGGCTGTCACTAAAGATGTACAACAGTTGACACCAGACGGTCCAAATGTTGGTGATCCCTTCTTGTTGGATTCCTATCAAACAGATGAGACAACTGAACATACTGACTCCATATAAAGTTTGCATTTAGAAAACTGTGATCCAGTAAGTGAAAATCATTTTCTTCTAGATTAGCAACAAATATTTCACTGATCTCGGTTCTTCAATATGGCTCAAGACATCCAATGACACATGCCAAAGGATAAAAAAGCAAAATTTTCTGGAGAAAGGATTTCCATATTAACACCAAGGAGTTACTGGTTACCTCAGTGCCACCTACAGGATACTTACGAATTTGTGTGCAGATATTCAAAGGTTAGCTGAGCTCGGTTGAGACTGCTGTAATTGGTGAAGGCCATGACTGCAGTGAGTCTCCAGTCTTTGCCCGTTAACAGGGGAGAACATAGAACGGAACAGGCTTTCCCAGAGGTTGATCCAGTCAAGGGTAAATCTGTGCTTCTTAGTGACTCATAGGACAAAATTTCCCGACTATCTAAAATATTGTCAGATATTTGAAATTGCAAGTGATGTACGTATTTCAGTGACTATGATGTAATATTTTTGGAAAGAACTACATCCTAAACCTACAGTCCTTAAGAGCAGCAAGCATAGAGCGTCCTTCTTGCAATTCCCGAAGCCTCCGGAGTGAATGGTTCGGAATGGTCTTCCAAGCTGGCGGCTTATTGCGGCTTCATCTTCACGTTCTTCGAGTCCTTTTCTGTTCTCCTAAGTTTCCTGAAGAGAACCAAGAGATTGACCTACTTCTGTCATAAAGCTGACGGTTCACCTACGTCATTACCACGGGAGGCTTCGTCACCGCCGAAGATGCCAGACTCCTCACACAGGTGTTCCAGCGGTGGAGCGATGGATGCCCTTTCCCGCCTCACCGCTTCCCAACTGGCAGGTCCTTGGTGCTGACCGACGGATTCCTGTACCCCCCCCCCCAGCCCCGTCCCCCGCACAGCTGGCTGGGAGGCCACAGTCACCACAGGTGGAGGGTGGAATCACTCAGCGTGGCCCCCAGAGACGCCACCCAGCACACCCGCCCGGATCGCCTCAGACGCGCCCTTCCCCCACCCCCTTCAGAAGCCAGCCTCGGGTCCCTCAGGCCCGCCCCGGCCCGGGTCCTGCGGCCACCTCCGAGAAAGTCACTCGTTCCGGATCCAGAGCAGAGAACGGGGAGGACGGCGGCGAGCACGCCCCACCCCCCCGGGTCCGGTCGGGCGTTGCCTGCAGCTCGCAGATGCCTTTGTCCCTCCCCGCGGAATTGGAACTCAACCACCGCGGCGCGCTCTTGGAACCATGTGCTGCCGCTGCCTCCGCCGCCGCCCGCGCGCGCCACGCCGCGCCCGAACAGATGACGACAGGGCTGGCGTCACGAGACTCGGCGCTGAGGACTCGGCCGCCGCCGCCGCCGCCACGGCGACCTCGGGCACTGCTTTGTCTCCGTCAGGGCACGCAGCGCGAGCCGCCTCGCTCACTCCCGACGGTCCCGGCCTCCCAGGCCTCTCCGCCGCGCCCTCGGCCAATCACAACGCCGCAAGTCTTCCCGCCCCCGCCCCGAGACCCCCACCTGCGGATTGGCGAGCAACGCGGGCCCACGTGACCGGATCCGGCCCGCGCCGGCCCGCCCCCGTCACGTGAGGGCGCGCGCCTCTCTTCCTGCTTGCCTGACCCTCTCCGCCATTTAAAGAAACAGTACCGGGGGCGGGCCGAGCGACGCAGCCGGACGGGAGCTGCAGCGCAGAGCGGAGGAGCCATCTTGTCTTGTCGCCGGGGAGTCAGGCCCCTAACTCGAAGAAGCCCTGGCGCGCCCTCCCCCACTCCCCGGTCTGGTAGGGCGAAGGAGCGGGCGTGCGGTCGATCGAGCGATCGGTTGGCGGCTCTTCCTCCTGCTCTGGCATCCAGCTCTTGGGGCGCAGGCCCGGCCGCCGCGGCGCGCGCCCGGTGGCCGTTGGCGCTCGCGCCGCGTCTTTCTTCTCGTCCGCAGAACTCGGGCGGCGGCCTATGCGTTTGCGATTCGACGAGGAGTCGTCCGGGTGGTCGGCGGCGGCGGGCAGCTGCTCCGCCCCGCTCCCGGGGAGGCGGCGGGGGAGGCTGGGGTGGCCGGGGCCGGCCTGGAGGCCTGGCGCCACCCTTCCGGGCCTGCTAGGACGCAGCTGGAGGGACAGGAGGGCGCGGGAGGATGGTTGGTGGTGGGCTTTCTCCTCTGCCTTTTCCTACTTATGCCACCTTAGCGTGGGGGTGGAAGCTCTGGCGGCAGCTCCGGGGTGGGGATTCGAGCTCCGGAGTCGGAAGATCTGGGTTTGCTTCCGGGCCTAGCCACCCGCTGGCCGAGTGACCTTAGGCAAGTCACTCTGTAATTTGTCTGCGCCTCAGTTTCCTCCTCTGCCTATCAGTGTGTGTCTGGGATTGAAAGCGCTTTTACAGAAGCGTCCGTTTACATAAAGGATGATTATCGTTTTTATTTTTTTGAGTTGCGAGAAGACTTAGCAACTGCTCATTCCCAGGAGTTAAATCCGGGAACCTTTTATTGGAGTTGGAGATCGGCAGGCTCCTTGAATTTGTGTGCAGAAACGTGTGGGAAAGAGCATTCTTGGGGAATGGGCGGACCCATCAATAGCAAGTTTTCAAAGGGGGCCGTGACCCAGAAGAGAACAATTGTATGCCACCGGGAGGAAACTGAGGCCTACATGTCATTTGGGACCCTTCACAACCAATTTGAAGCCCCCATTTGAGTCCCTGGTATATGTGAGCTGCTTCTTAATGCATAATGGCTATTTCGGGTAACATCATTTCACTGCTTGGCTTCTATTCTAAGCCCTTTCCTCTCACCGTAGGGTGCCTGAAGGGTGGCAGATACACGTGGTACAGTGGCACCCAATATAAAGCAGCTACAATTAGGAGTGAATGTGTTCTGTAGTATCAAGAAATGTAATCTTTGGCCCAGCAATTGTTTTTCTGCTGCTTGTACTGGTGCCTGACTACTTTTCTTTCATTGACCATTTTCTACAACCATGATTGACATCCGTCGTTTGCTCCTATAGTGTATCCCTGGTTTGCGTGGTTGATAGTGAACAGGCTTATTTTTAAATGGTGCTGCCAAACCCAGCTAATGGTGCAGGTGGATATTTAGCAAGCGGGCTCCCTGAAGCAGACTGAACCAGGCATTGGATTCCTGAGACTGTTTGGGATTATTTTTGGTTTGGCTTGTTTGGTTTGGTTCTTATTATTAATTGAAGGTTAACAGTCTCTGAAAAGTTGTTGGACTCTGGTTGAACCACAAAATCAGTATATTTGGAAGTAATTTGAAGCTTAACTTTTTCCTGGCCAGCCTTGTATTCTAATTGCTTGCAAGTGTGAGACTGAAATGGCCAAAATGCCGTTTTTTGTTTATTTCTGTTAATTGTCAGCTGCTTTCCTCAAATTGCAGGCCATTATCCAGCAAACACTATAAAAATGTTTGAACAGTTGCATTTCAGACATTTTCGTTTTGTGGAGTGGTGCTTATCAAGTGGTACAGCTCTCGAAGCAAGTGAACACAACATATTTAAGTGTATTTTGTATGATTAGAGGTTACCAATTCCGATATTTTATTCAAATGTATATAAAAAATTAAGTTGACTATTCCCTTTACCAAAGGGCCAGAGACAAATGATTTCCCTTCAAGAGAAATGACTGTTTTGGAGAAAAATGTGTTGGTCTTAGTTCTTTTGTAATTAAATCTGGATGTACCTCAAAAGACTCTTTTAAGACTGTGGTGTTAAAGGCTTTCCTCTGGAGAAAGGAGGAGAAAGGAGAAAAAGAAAAATCAACTGGAATTTAAAAGCTTGAAATTCCGTGACAAAGCACAGATGTCCAGGATTGGAGGTTCATGAAGTGTTTGCAGTAATTGGAGCAGATACACTTTTCCGTGTAATTGCCACTGTGGACTCCAGGTTTCCAGATTTTCAATTGCTGGACCTGTGACCCAGAAGAGCTTGTCAAGATGTGGCAGGAACTCTGGAGGTAGATGTCTTGTACTTTTCAACTTTGGAACTGTTGATTTTGCCATGTGTAAAGAGGCAACAAGACAACAAGCACTGCCACCAGCGTTGTTACTGGAAACTTGAAGACCTGGGTTTCTGTCCAGACCCTCAGTGCAAACTGACAACACTCCATCCAAAGTGAACCTATGGTACTTGCCATTTTCCAAAATTCCCCTGCTTTCCATTTTTGTTGTTTACCTTGGGAATGCACTTCTGTGGTTTATCACCTAGCACCGCTCTCCTATCTCCTATACAACTAAAATGGTCTCGTCCCTGTGGCTCTCTTAACATCAGAAAGAAAATCTTTATAATGACTTTAATCTTTTATGTGCAAAATCTGATAAAAGTTACTTGGGTGCATTTGTTATTTTTCCATATAGCCTTGGTTTTATTCATCTTTGCCCAAATGTGCCACCACTTCTAATGAAGCCTTTTTTAAAGCAGGGACCATAATTGCTATATTATATCTAACATTACTCTTGATAAAATGAATTCATTAGATATAAACCACACTCTTATTTCTTAAATCTAGATTTAAAAGAAACTAGGGAACCATTAAACCCAAAAAGGAATTGAGAGCAGGTTGACCGACCAAGGCCTTAATACTGTCTTGGTCTAGATAGAATTTGTTAAAGTGAAGGTTAGGAGAGTTTTATAGGACAGGAGCATAAGACAGCATTTGAACAATACTGAGAAAGTAAGGGTAAAATTGGTGTGTTACCTAAAATCTCACTTTTTGTGCCAATTGTGAAACCACTTTTCCTCCCTTTCACCTAATGGCTAGCAACCTGAAAACAAATTACTGCCCCAGAGTAGGAATTTTATATTTGTTGATCCCTGAGACAGTCAGAATATTACCTCTATTAGAGAACTCTGAGCATTTTTTTACCCAACCTAACTTTTTTTTTTAACTGACCTTGCCTCTAGCAATTTCTCTATCACCGGCTAAGCCAGGCTTGTGACTGCCCACCAGACAGTTGATTTACTGACAGCAACCCCCACCTCATTGTTACACTCCTGTGTTTATAATTCTGTGTGCCTGTTACCTTATCTGTTTTTCCCTGCCCTTTCTAGTCCTGTGCCTCCTGATTGCTGAGTCTTCACCTGGACCCTGTGATGACCTTCCTTCTGCTAGTCCATCAGCCGCAGAACTGATACCTGGATTTCTGTCCATGGTGATTCCTACCACCTTACTACTGAAGAAGACACCATTCCAGTGGACCACTGTGACCCAAGAAGCATTCAGCCATCATGATGTGATCTTTACCTCCACTCCTGTTCTTTGCTCAGATTCAGCACAGCCCTTTATAGTGCAGTCAAGAGTCTTCAAGCCAAATAACTGAAGCTATTTTATCACAATAAAGGCCAAGTTTATTCCATAAATGTACAGTTCATTTCTGCAGTTAAGTCTTCAGAGACACATAGTAAACTTGGACAAGGGGATTTTGTGTTTTGTTTGTGAATTGTCAACACTGTCTGAAAATGGCATCATCTCTGAAAACAGCATTGGAACATACTCCACAATCTCAAATGACTGAAGTTTAATGAACTGACTAGGATCCTGTCAAGGTCACTGGACTCTTGTTTTGTTTTTGTTTTCCTCCTTCAAATCTATAGCTGTCTACTGAATGAGAAGCAGACATTCTGACCCATTGGGATCAAAACTAAGGCACATCGAATTCCTCATAGTATCATCTTTGGGTTACTCAGGAACCAAAACTTTTCACACCAATATAAGAAATTCTACTAAGGAGTCCCTTTACCTAACCATCTCACCAGGCTTCAACCAGATTCCGGAAAAGACTTCTGATACATCAAGATAGAACCTATATGGTAATCTCTTCTGTTTGTATAGCACTTTACAGGTTCAGAGCACTTTCATATAACATTTGTGTCAATTATCAACACAATCACCTTTTTGAAATGAGGGAATAGAAATTTAAGAATTTAAGCAATTATCCAAGGTGATACAGTAGTAGAAGGCAGTCCTTCTGACTCCCAGTCCAGTATTACCCTTGGTGTTATCTTAGCTTTCATATTATTCACAGTATTAAAATGGCTGGAGACTGAAAATGTTCAAGCTTCTAGACTATATGTTGCCCTTAGTAGAGCACAATGTTTGAAGTTTAATCATAACTATATTTAGCCCAGAATCCCTTGATGATGTCACTAAGGTATAGGAGCAAGCAGTCTCCATGGTGGCTGGTGATTTGGTTTTAAAAAAAAATGTTAGGAAACAAGGCTATGCAGTATGAAACAAGTATTTTTACATTTTCTTATTCATTTTTATGGTCTTTCCAAGAACAGCCTCATTAACTACAGATCTGCACTTGTTCTTTGCTTTTAAATTTTATTAATATTCCTAGACAGAGAAAGCTTACCAGTGGTCTGTCCCCAAATTAATAGGTAGAACGAGCCATTTGCTTTTATAAATATGCATATAATTTATAATTTTTGTTGTCCAGTGAGGTGGTTAAAAAAATGTAATGCATGTCCCTACACAAACAGTTTAGTGGTTAGGGTCTCAAAGACATGCTATAAAGCTTCATTTAGCTGTTTAGCCCAGTGTGCCATACATCATTCAAATAGATTACTGCGAGTTTTTGTTTGCTTTTGTTTTTTCCAGTATTCTTTTTTAACAGAATGGGAAACTGTTAGAACTGTCTTGCCAGTGCTTAATTATCAGCAGATTGGCCTGGTGACCCCATAATAAATTCACTGTCTTTGAAACTGCCCTTTCTCATATTTTGTCCTAACTGCTTGAATTATTGTTACATCTGAGGGTTATACATTTTGATGCTACCTTTTTTGTCAAGGGAGCCTCTGAAATTCAAGGGAGAATGGGGGGAAATTGACTTTTGCGTCAATTAAGTTAGCAATAACTTCTTAATAGAGTCATGTTGTAACTTTTAAAGGAATCACTTCTCAAGTAAGGAGGGAAAAGAAAAAGAATTAGAGTTGTGGCCCAGTGACTTCTTACTGCTTAAGTGAAGTCATCCAACTTTGAATTTCTCAAAAGTACTGTTTGCAAATTCCCAGCAATATTACAGCTTAAAACCAATAGTCTTGTTCTCTGGTAGTCATTTTTTTAATACAATTATTTTTATCAATTCTTTGGGAATTTCATGTAGTATATTTTGATCATATTTACCCCCTAACTTACCAAAAACTACTCCCTGCTCTCTTTCAGTTTTGTGCCCCCTTTCCCTCAGTTTGTGTTGCCCAGATACTCTTGGGCACCCCTAGAAGCATGGTCAACCTTTTTAGTCATCTTAGTCACTAATCAAAATTTACAGTAGATGCTTTAATTCCATCAGTCAATAACATGGTCCACATCAGGGGGAGAATAAACAAATATTTTGTCTACTTTGTCTTAGCATTGAGCTTGCTTACCCATATTCTGGTTCCCATGACCTATTTTTTGTGTTTCAGCATTTTGTGAACAACTTATCCTTATCACTGATTTTCCAAGGGCTTTGTGCTTAATGAAGTCCTTTGAAGGAAAGCTATGTGGAAGTCCAGAGTAAAGTGAAGCTGCTCTGGAGTAGGGATCTGCAGCCTGCCACAACTATTCCTTTACCATCATGGTGACAACTAAAGGGACTTCTTTATGGAAAATTCTTCAGAAGATACTGCTGGAAACCACTGCCCTAGATAACATGTTTGACCTGAATGACATTCTGACCTTATGTGTATTTCCAATTCTATATAGTTCATATTCAGTTGATGCCGAACATGTTTGGAGATGGGTATGCCTTTGTCCAGAGAACGATCACACAGCGTTGTCAAGTGAAATTTTATTAATAGCATTCCATCCAAGGTGGACTTCCTGGAGTTGGATATAGCCAGAGAATAATACATGTGTATCCTACACCGAAGAACCCCATTAACTTTCACAAACGTGTACCTAGTGGTACTGGAAGTATGTGGCTTGGAAGTCTTGGAACTTGGATATAGGAATTGCCTGAAAGCTGGTATTGAAGCTGATGTCTCATTGAGGCCATCTTAGACCAAGTTGTTTATTTGACCTCTCCACATAAACTATGGTACTCCACGTACAAAGGATAATCATTAACTATGAAGCAAAATCCAAATACAGTTTTTCCTAAAGGGACTTGTAACCTGATTATCATTCACTGTCTCAATTTCAACTCATGTGACTATTAATTAAACTGCTCCATGGTTTCCTGTTATTTAATAACTACTGTTTCCAGGGCTTAAAGAAAAATTAAATTCCTCCAACACTTGTTATTTCTGCCTTTTCAAAATTAATTTACTCACCTCTACATGGAACAGATGATCGTGAAGACATATTCTGAACATCCTTTATCATATGTGACTTAAAACATAGCTGGACAATTTTCCTCTACCATTGAAATATTCTTTAATGATTATTCTTCCGGCTTGGTACCATCAGCTGTATGTGATGGGCATAGTTGGACGCAGATTCTTTGACTCTAGGCCATGATAGCCTGCTAGACATTTCAAGTAGCATATTGTTGACCTTTTTGCTGGAAAATTAGACTAACTTGGAAAAAATAATCTATAAATGGCAGCTAAGGATTTTTTTCAATATTCTTGAGTGTCCTGTTGGATGTTTTAATGGAGTTTCATCTGTCTCGTATTATCACTTTACACTAGTTCAGAGTGACTGACTTTATTCCTTACTATGAGGTATTCTTAAGACATTAAGATTATTTTTTTCTTGTAGAAAGGATAAAATCCCTGAATACTGAAATCATAGTAAACAAGACTTTGTGACCTGAGAAAATCTCATTCTTCAACTTCATAGTCTAAGGGCCAACTACCATCAGCTACTCTTGAGTACATTGGGTAAACGTTGGAACTGCTGCTTTTTATATTCTTGTTTCTTACCCTCTAACCATGGTTGTATAATTGTTGACACAAATCAGCAAATCAAACTCAGATCGGGTTATTCTAAACTGCTCACAGTCAGCAAATCAAAATCGGGATGATTTCTGCTTTTATCTGCAACTATTATTTGTAAAGAAGAAATCACAGATTCACTTTTCTATTATCTCTACATTAGCTCTTTCTTTTTACTGTATTTGCAGGAAAAAAAAACTACACTGCCAGTCATTTCTTCTGATTCTGCCATACTCAGTTAAAACGAGCAATCAATCTAATCAGTGATTGGATAAATAGAAAAAACTAAAACTTAAGGCAAAAGCCTTATTCTAGGGCCTTGTCTACTGTCTTCATGCCTTGGAGCTCATCTAAATCTTACAACAGTGCCACCCAACCAACCAGTCTGAGGCCTTGACTTGCCTTTAAGATTCTTGGCGATGGGCTGTATTACAGAAGGGGAAGACTTGATTACCAAAGAAATCCTGTTGCTCTCAGATGTAGCATAGACTCCTAAATAGAACCTCAAGTCTGCATTGAGGATATAGCCTTCTAAGCTGACAGTTCTTGCACAGATGAGCAGGAAAATGAAAGCTGCTATACCCAACTGTCCCTTTAAGATACAAAAAAATTTTGTCTGGAGTAAACCCTTTGGATTATCTCTGGAGTACCCAGGACAAAAACTAATTTACAGAGCTTCATTATCAATCTGCCTATTCTTCCAAATTATAGTTTTACTATTGGTATGACTGGCCCTGCTGAAGTTACTCTGTTTACCTGTCTTTAGCTCTTAACCTGCCTATTTTGACATGCTACTGCAATCAGACTAACTGGCCTTGAGAATACCATCAGTTTCAGGCTTGTGCCCAGTTCCATCAACGAATTTTGAATAGAAGGAACCTGTACCATACCCTACCAGAACTCAATGTTCACAACAGGGAGGACCATGCTGCATACTCTTTGACCAACAACTTTAAGTAGAGAATAACCCTGCTTATTTTCAACACCTGAATCATGTTTGATCTAACAGAAGTATATCAGGTTGAAAAGCAAGAGTGCATTGCTTTTTTTTTCTGTAATAACTAAGAAATGAATATGATTGACCAGGACTAAGAAATTATAAGTTCACCTTGAGACATAAAGCAACACAAGAACTTGACCACTGAACTTAATTTGCAGCTAACTCAAACAGCTTCAAACTGTTTGCCAAGTAGGAGAATGGTTTTCCTGCTTCACATCACCAATGTCAATCTGACTTGAATGAAAACTCCATGGTGAATCCTCGAGTATGAAGCTAATGGAAATTATCATTCATTTAAGTGATTTGTAGGCTTCCTATGGACAGGACAGACATCGCTCCTGGTGATTTTTAGAATTCTATTACCAAGGAAGAAAAACCAACTACTATAAGCCAACTTTATGGTCAAAGATTAAGCTCTGTACTTGGCCTTATCCCTGGATGTTCTTTTTTATTGCCCATTCCATCTCACTATAACAACTTCCTGATATTTTTTGGAACCATCTCTTCCAGTTTTCAGTCCATGTGGTTTAGACACTTGTTGAATCTTGTGCTGGACATGTTATTCCAACCTCATCAATCAGCAAAGTCCTTCTTGACTCTAGTGATTGATTCAGGAATGGATGCACGATTCAAGTTTGTCCAATGATAATCAGCCCTAGGTGGTTTACTCAGTTGTGGAGAAGTTCCCTTAACTTAGATGCTTTAGCTTTGTGGGAGAAAAACTCAAACCAACAGGGCCTACTATGTTCAATGAGCCAGGCAGAAAATGAAGCCAGTGCAGAGGGAAACAGCCAAAAGAGCAAAAGACTTGAGTTCTGATGACAACATTTATGCCCCCGGGATCCAGCTGTGCCTGAAGCTAGTGGTATATCCCCTGGACTTTGCAGTTATGTGAACCAATAAATACCCTTTTTGTTGAAGTTACTCTGAGTTGGGTTTCTGTTATTTGAAAGTGAATCCTGACTAATAACATTTATCAGCAATGAAGCTTGACTTGTCCAAGCTATTTGTTAAGCTTGAGGTCAAGGCCATAACAAAATTATTTTCCAAAAGAAAAACACAGATTAATACACTATAGAATCATAAAAATTACTGGGGGAAACTTCAAAGATTGGTTGAATATATGGTTCAGCCATAAAAGAAAGTGTACATAGTTGTTTACATAAATAAGGTATATGTATTGTGAGTAGACATCAAAAAATGGCCACGAGACCTTAAATGAAACAAGTTATAGAAATGTATTGTGTGAACTCATTTTGAAGTGTATGCTTACCTTTGTAAATGCATAGAAAAGTCTATCACTGGCTTTCTTTGAATAGTGTAGATTACGCAAGATTCAACTTTGACTATTTTACACTACCACATTAGAATTTATTTAAAAATCTGAATTTTAAAAGTAAATGCCTCCTTTTGGGCAAGTTACTTAAACCTGAGCCTCTTTGTCAAATGATTTAAAATAGCCCTTGTATATCAAATCTAGCAATGTAGTCTTCATTACGTAAGCTGGCAGGCTGTTAAACGTTAGGAAGCTTAGAGTTTGGTAAGTGTTCCTTAGTTTTGAAAGTATCCTTTAAAACAGCTTGAGTCATCAAAATTACAATATCTTGATAGCTTCATTTTACATGAAAGATTATTCCAGATTTAAAAGTGATGGCTAAACTAAATCCTGGTTGCATTGCTCACATCAGGCAAAGAGAAGGCAACGAATCACTTTTTAAACTCCCATGTCACTGCAGTAAAGGTCATTAAGGCCTAACATGTACCCTGGATTTGGAGCTTAGACAAGCTCCCATGAGTGCCTTGAAGCACCCCTGAGTTCTGACAGTGTGACGTTTGCATCCTGGCTACCAATCCATTGATGATTCTCTTCTCCACTATTAGTATACTGCACATCCATTGCTCTGGCCTGCTCCAAATCTCTTCCTTCACTGACGACTCCACTCTTCCTTGAAAAAGAACACCTTCTCTTTCTGTTATTTTAGTGGGACAGTACATGACAATATACTGACCTCATACTCCTGGCCAAAGTTTATCCTATCACAATTGGTCTCCCACCAGGACTTTCTATTTTAAAGAGAAACATCAGAGGCAAAGTGGCAGGAATTGAATCATTGTCATGAAAATGTTCCAAAGAAACAATATAGATAATGATACAAAATCCCCTAAAGAACCCTCATACCTGTTTTTAAGGCCTATTACTCAAATTTTCTTTTAATTGTAGACAATCATACATCTTTACAAGTTTACTTTCTGTAAGGGAAAAAAAAATGAAATTCTCAGATTGGCAAGATGATTCAGCAGATAAATGTCCTTGCTGCCAAGCGTGATAACCTATTTTGGGTCCCCAGTACATATTAGGAGAGACCCAACTCCAGCAAATTGTCCTCTGACCACCATCCACATTTGTGCTGATACATATGTACAAATAAATGTAATTTTATATGACTTTCTATTGCTGGTAACCAAATGACCTGAAGGAACCAGAGAATAAAATATTAAACTTCTGACCCTCATGAAAATGATTATTCCCCTGAAACTGAATTAAAGGTAGTGGTAACCCACCTAGAAGTCCTGAAGGAAAGCTTTTTTTGTTTGTTTGTTTGTTTTTCCTTTCCTGGGAGGGAGACTTAAAAACAGTATCCTCCCTTGATGTTTGGAATAATGTATAATAAGCAAATGTTGGGGATCCAAGACCAAAACCATTAGGCAGAAATGCTTGTTCATTGGGTGACGTAAGTTTAAAAGAACAGCCTCAGTCCAGAGACTTACCTTTAGGCAACAAATAAAACCCTGATCCTCAGTGCTTGAGTCCAAACTAGCACTTGATGATGAGTTTCTGAATTGCTAAGAATGAGAAAAAATAAGAGTGTTATTAAAATCTCCTAAAAGCAACATGATTAACCAAAAGGGAAACCAATAGATTTTTATAAATCCAAGACCCTAGAAGCCAGAAAGAGGATGATAAATGTATTTCTCTATATAAAACAAACCTATAAAAGATATGTTAGACTAAGGAAGTATCTCCAACATAACAGACTCAGGATTACTATCCCTGATACGCTAACAGACGTGTGTCATAACTACAGGCATATATCCTGACAAATGCATTGTTAGGCAGTTTTGTTATGTAAATGTCAGTATACTTAACACTAACTAAAATGCCCAATGCCACTAGTCTGAATCTGTCAAGGACCACTGTGGTATAGGTGGTTCACTGTTGATCAAAATGTGGCAAATGCACACAATTGTTAGTCATTTAGTGCTGTTTTATGCTGGGTATTGTTTTGGGCCTTCTCAGTCTGCCTTAAGAGAGAGGAAATGCTCCTGCAAAAGAAACCACCTTTAAAGGACTCTTGCCCATGTCACACAGTGGGTAATAGAGCTGTTACTTCCACAATGGGCCTAATTCAGTCTGCTTGAGCCAGTGTGTTCTTCTGCATCTCTGTAAGCATGAAAGTATCCAAAGCAGTCAGCGAAACAAGTCAGCCACAAAAAGTACCATTCACATTGGTCAGATGGCAAAATTTTCAAACAGCAACCTTCTATGGTGCTAACAAAAGTTAGGACACATGATTTTTTTTAACATTCGTGTTAATCTTTTTAAAAGGTAATTTGACAAAAATGAAAGTTTGAAATGGATGTTTTTTAGCCAGCAGCCCTTTGAAAACTTACTCAAAAACCTATAAATAATATGGCATAAAGATATTGGTATAAGAAGTTTACTGGGCAATGGTGGTGCACACCTTTAATCCCAGTACTTGGGAGACAGGCAGGAGGACCTCTTTGAGTTTGAGGTCAGCCTGTTCTAAAGACTGACTTCCAGGACAATTAGGACTACACATAGAATCCCTGTCTCAAAAATAAAAACCAAAAAAAAAACCCAAAAAAACTAGAAAAAAAGTTAAACATGGAAGACAGATCAAGATTATTCAACTAGTGTATTCATGATGGATTTTTAAGCAAAATACATATGCACAAAGTTATAACGGCTACTTATTTATTTATTAAAGATTTCTGCCTCCTCCCCGCCACCGCCTCCCATTTCCCTCCCCCTCCCCCAATCAACTCCCCCTCCCTCATCAGCCCGAAGAGCAGTCAGGGTTCCCTGCCCTGTGGGAAGTCCAAGGACCTCCCACCTCCTTCCAGGTCTAGTAAGGTGAACATCCAAACAGCCTAGGCTCCCACAAAGCCAGTACGTGCAGTAGGATCAAAACCCAGTGCCATTGTTCTTGAGTTCTCAGTAGTCCTCATTGTCCGCTATGTTCAGCGAGTCCGGTTTTATCCCAGGCTTTTTCAGACCCAGGCCAGCTGGCCTTGGTGAATTCCCGATAGAACATCCCCATTGTCTCAGTGTGTGGGTGCACCCCTCGCTGTCCTGAGTTCCTTGCTCGTGCTCCCTCTCCTTCTGCTCCTGATTTGGACCTTGGGGTTTCAGTCCGGTGCTCCAATGTGGGTCTCTGTCTCTGTCTCCTTTGATCGCCTGATGAAGGTTAATATTCATGAGGATGACTATATGTTTTTCTTTGGGTTCACCTTCTTATTTAGCTTCTCTAGGATCACGAATTATAGACTCAATGTCCTTTATTTATGGCTAGAACCATTTATGAGTGAGTACATCCCGTGTTCCTCTTTTTGGGTCTGGCTTACCTCACTCAGGATAGTGTTTTCTATTTATGAACACAAAAATACAGTGTCTAAATGAAATAAAAGACTAAAGAGATGTCTTAGGGGTTAAGAGCGCTTGTAGAGGGCCCAGGTCCAGTTCCCAACACCCACATGGCAGCTCACAACTATCCCTATTTAAAATATCAATTATCTACAGTGGTAGCAAAAATTAGAATCAATGAGAACTTTCTTTACCTTATTCATGAGAATGTGCATTGTTCCAGTCTTTCTAGAAAGTGATTTGACATCAATTAAAATTAGAAACACTTGAATGAACAATTACTGAAAATTGAGTTTGGTGAAACTTTATTTAATACACTTGTTACAATGACTTTGTAGTTATGCAAAGCAGATGCCCTTTATTTCCAAGAAAATGCTGGTTCTAAATTAAATAATTTAAATATAACTTTTAAAATTGTTACATTGAACATGGTCTAATTCAAATGAGAATGTAATGAACAAATGGGTAGCTCAGCAGTGGAGGCAGAGACAGGAAGATTGCTGTGTGTTTGAAGCCAGCCTGGTACATGACTAGTTCTTGAAATCTTTTAAAGAAAAAAAAAGAAAAAAGAAAAAAGAAAAAAAAAACATCATGACTAGTTCCTGAAATCTTTTAAAGAAAAAAAAAAAAAGCAACAAACTGGAGATAATGGTGGAGCACCTGTCTCATGTATTAAAGCCTTGGATTGGATCCCCAGCTCTTAAAGAAGGAACGGGATAAGGATGAAGTCTTTCACAGCTGCCTTTTGAAGATGCTTGCCTTCCAGATAACAGATGCTCAACGTTTGGATAAGCCCTTCGCTATAGCAAAGAAAAGGCTGGCGGTTGGAGTGCCACATTCTGACAGAAGACTGGTTCTCAACCTGGCGGTCATGTCCCCTAGATCGATAGCATATCAGATATCCTGCATGTCAGATATTTCATGTCAAATAGTTCATAACAGGAGCAAAATTACAGTTATGAAGTAGCAAAATAATTTCATGGTTGGGGGGTCACCATAACATGAGGAACTGTATTAAAGGGTCACATAATTGGGAAGGTTGAGAGCCACTGCATCTGTTCTTCAAATAAGCACATTTCTTACCCTGTTTTGGCAAGTAAAACCCCACCAAATTCAGGTTCTCCAAAGAAGCAAACCCAATGGGATATATGTATGTATGTACAAGATACTGGTGTAGATATATGATGGGGGCTTATTAGGGAAATTATTATGGAGGCTCAAGAATCTTAGAATAGGCCATCTACACATTGGAGTGCTG